TTATATTCTTATTATTATTATTATTATTATTATTATTATTATTATTATTATTATTATTATTATTATCATTATTATCATATTATTATTATTATTATTATTATTATTATTATTATTGTTATTATATTATTATTATTATCATTATTATGTTATGTTATGTTATTATTATTATTATTATTATCATAGTATTATTACTATGTTATATTTTTATTGTTATTATTGTATTATTATTATATTCTTATTATTACTATTCTTCTTATTATTATTATGTTATATTATTATTAGTAATATTATATAATAATAATAATAATAATAATTATTATTATTAATATAGTATTATTACTATGTTATATTATTATTATTATTATTATTATTATTATTATTGAGCAGCTCATGCTAGAATTCTAAAAGCAGTGTGTGTTGTTATCATCATGTCTGGTCCTGATGTGGTTACAAGCGTCATAAATCTGCAGTTTTACAGTCACGTGAGTGCTTCGGTTTGTTGACACTGCACGATACGCAAAACCGCTGCACACGTGGTGTCTTTAACCACTTTGCTTTGCTTTAATGAGTGTCTCTGCGAGGAAATCTATCAATAGCAGTTTATTTGCATCATAATGCAAACCACCGAGCCACCGTGGCTTCCCCTATTTCTCCAGCGCTGTGCAGAAAAAAAGTGACGAGATTCGACCGATTTGCAAGCGAACAGAGTCTCTGTCAGCGGTCGCAGAATAAAGTGTGTTAGAGAGCATATTGCATTACTGCTGCTCCTGATTAGATTTGGGAAGAGTTGATGAGCAGCGTCTCTGTGCTGAGGTCAGACGTTGAGGATCTGCTGAGCACTCTGCTGAGCATTCATCACTCAGCTCTCTCATGAAAAGTCATACTCCAGGAAAAGTACTTGCCTAAAGATGTAGAGCAAGTGGAGTAAAAGTGAAAGCATCCGGAAGCTTTGACATGACAGCGCCCCCACACCCTGATGCTCATGACAAGAATAGCATGTGTAGTTATCGGTTCCCTAAATGAGTCGCCGTCTTGCATGGAGGAAGGATGTTTTTGCCCTTTTACACATGATAATCCATGACCGCATTACACTGACCTGTCAGAATAACACATTGCCAATGAGTGACCGTGCTGTGCTTCTGACAGAAAAGGCCACGGATGGCTCCCTGCAGAACGAGGACTGGACGCTCAACATGGAGATCTGTGACATCATTAACGAGACTGAGGAAGGGTGAGAGACCAACACACACACACACACACACACACACTCGGACACTACAGTCTGTGCTGTGTATGAGGAACAGCAGTCTGTTGTGCTCTGCTGTGTTTGGGCGTCTGCTCTCCTGTTCAGTGCGTTCAGTGCTGTGGGTGTTTTCCACCACATGTGATGTGTTCAGATGTTTGCATAAGCATGCAGTTTGCTTTATATAGTCTCGCGTGATTATGGTAGGTATAAGATATTGATAAAGCATGACCTGCAGTGCTTCACTTCTGCCTTTGTGCTTCCTGTAAGCCAGGAGTGTGTTGCTGTAGTTCCGCTTCTTCATGTGATCTTCCTGCACATGTTGACGGCCTCTAAAACTGATTACTTCTCTACTTTATAGTTGGTAGGGGGGTAACAGATCACTGTTGATCCCCATGACTGTATAAATTATGGACGACGCGACAGCTTTTCACACTGAACGCTTTGAATGCAGAACGCCTCGTGACTGACACAAACTGTCTCCACACACTGCTGAAATTGGAGCCCGGGCATGTGCTGAAGGACTGCCCGACGGGCCCAGAGGAGACATTTTATTCCAAGTGTGATTAATTTTTAAATTTGTGTTCAAGTCTCGTTCATTAACACGGAGGAGGCGGGCTTTATGACTTCAATTTCACTAGACGAAAGTGTATGTGACAAATAAAGGCCTGATTTGATTTGATTTGAAATTTAATAATGGTGTTAAAAAGGTCTTAAAGGGCACCAATGGTGAAAAATCTACTTTTCAAGCTGTTTAGACAGACGTGTGTGTTGATATAGTGTATAGAGCGTCATATTGGGGTGATATAAACACACACACTCCTTTTTTTTCAATTTAACATCAAATAAACGGTGGACCAATTGGAGCGGTTTTCAGACCGACCGCAACTTGACGTAGGAGAGCGTTCCCCCGCCCACCAATATTGATTGACAGGCTCGCGTCACGATCATATAGTTAGTTTCTTGTTGCATGTCCGCCATTTTCAGCACGTGAGTCAAAGCGGTGTCACTAAAGGAACACCCGCGCTCTATGTTTTGATGAAAGGCTCATTGGGCTCAACACAAGATCAATATCCCCACACATTATTGCTGTAATCGGAATTATTGCTTGTACCTTTTGGCGTGGTGTGGGTTTCTGTCAGGGTGCACGCGGCGCAGCTTCGGGTCAGCGGCTCGGCGGGGTGTGGGTTTCTGTCGGCATGCACCCGGCGGAGCTTCGGGTCAGCGGCTCGGCGGGGTGTGGGTTTCTGTCGGCATGCACCCGGCGGAGCTTCGGGTCAGCGGCTCGGCGGGGTGTGGGTTTCTGTCAGGGTGCACGCGGCGCAGCTTTGGGTCAGCGGTGCGGAGTAGTGTGGGTTTCTGTCGGGGTGCACGCGGCAGAGCTTCAGGTCAGCAGCTCGGCGCGGTGTGGATTTCTTTCAGGGTGAACGCGGCGGAGCTTCCGGTCAGCGGCTCGCCGTGGTGTGGATTTCTGTCGGGATGCACGTGGCGGAGCTTTGGGTCAGCGGTGCGGCGTGGTGTGGGTTTCTGTCGGGGTGCACGCGGCAGAGCTTCGGGTCGGCGGTGCGGCGTGGTGTGGGTTTCTGTCAGGGTGCACGCAGCGCAGCTTCGGTTCAGCGGCTCGGCGGGGTGTGGGTTTCTGTCGGGGTGCACGCAGCGGAGCTTCGGGTCAGCGGCTCGGCGGGGTGTGGGTTTCTGTCGGGGTGCACGCGGCAGAGCTTCGGGTCAGCGGCTTGGCGTGGTGTGGGTTTCTGTCGGGGTGCACGTGGCAGAGCTTCGGGTCAGCAGTGCGATGCCGTTGTGTTTGTCCTGGTGGAGGCCTGTGTTTGGAGTTCTGGAATGCGTGCCGCGGCGATTCGGAACACTTCATGTTTCTGCCGCATCACTGAGTGTGTCTGGTGTGCCGTGTCCTGGCACATTCAGTGCCTCAGTCAAAGTTAATTCAGTGTGTGTGTGTGGTTATTAGTCTCGGTGTAAAAACTCGGCACTTGTACACCGAGACTATACAAAGAGACACAAATGATTTTGTACTCTCTGCTTGGTCTGTGTGCGACTCGTACATTTACGACTGAATGCTGATCTTAGCTTAGCTTAGCTTCTCTCTGTGGCTGCGTCCGAAACCGGCTACTACTCAGTAGGTACTGCATTTAAATGTAAACGTAGAACTCTGCCGGTAAAATAGTACGCTTTATACAGTATGAATGTGAAAAGTATGAATGGAATTCGGACGAACTACATCCGCCATTTTGTCATGGTCACGTGACCTACCTGCGTCAGTTGCGTCGCCTCTCTTCCAATTATGAATTCTCTCACGGGGCGTTATGGGATAGTGCAGCGTGCATGGGATGCGCACTTCAGAATCTTGACGGAAGTAGTAAGTTATCCAGGTACTTTCGAATTCTATGAATTCGGACATACTACTCGGCTCGCATACTGATTTTAGCGTACTATATAGTATGGAAGTATGCGGTTTCGGACACAGCCTGTCTGTCAGCCTGTCTGTTGCGAACACAGAGCCTGGGAGCTCTTGGCTCCGCCCCCTTGTCATGTTTGGCGGGAAGCCGAATCTAATTTAAATGTGAAGCAACACGCCCCCTAAAACAGCAAACTGTGTACACGCCCCCAACATGACACATTTGAACACATTATAATAAAAACATCTGAACTGTGTGTTGAACTGAACCTAAACCGGCACACTCAGAACAACCAGAATATTAATATGAAATCATAAAAAAGAGGGAAACTATAAATTTGTCGCTATGATATCTGCAGAAACCCCGCATTAACGTTTATATGATCTTTACGCTGTCGTGATTCTCCACAGGCCCAGAGACGCCATGCGTGCAGTGAAGAAGAGACTCAACGGCAACAGAAACTTCCGTGAAGTGATGCTGGCTCTGACCGTGAGTGACGGAGTACTGTTTAACATTAGCGCAGGACATTCTTGATAATTCAATTCAGTTCCCCTTTATTTGTATAGCGCTTTTTTTTGCGCTTCTTTTTGTAGATTGTGTCAGCAGCTTCACATAAAAGATCATAGTAAATGGAAGAAGTGTAGTCCAGTTTTCAGAGTTTAAGTTTAGGTCAGTTTAGCTCAGTTCAGTGTGGTTTAATAATCACTACTGAGAGTTCAAACACTATAGAGGAAAAAACTTCACCAATTGGTGAAAGTAAAGGAAAAAAAACCTTGAGAGAAACCAGACTCAGCGTTGGGCAGGACCATTTCTCCTGCCAAGGGTCTTGTGCAGAGCTGCAGTCTAGGCGCCGGAGGCTGGAAGCTGGACCTCAGTAAAGACTCGTCAGTCACTGGAGCGTCACAGGAATCAGTCTCATGCTCTCCACTCCTCCATGACCACCACAGCAGCTGTTCAAGATACGGCCTGGTCCAGGATAATGGAAACCTTGGGATCATTTCGTCGCTGGTCTTGGATCTAATCAGTGACTCTGCATAGTCTGAGGGCCTCGGGATGAGTTTTCCCAGGTGGATATAGAGAATAAAGGGAGTAATTAGCGTAGCTGCTGCTTATAGTGTATATAAACGAGATACGTGGAGCACATTCATGTATCACACCGCTAAGTGATGCACTGAGTGTGTGCTTTACAGATAGGTCTTTAATCTAGTGTTGAACTGAGAGAGTGTGTCGGAGCCTCGAACATTATCAGGAAGGCTATTCCAGAGTTTAGGAGCCATAAATGAGAAGGCTCGACCTCCTTTAGTGGGCTTTGCTATTCTAGGTGCTACCAGAAGCCCTGAGTCTGAGATCTTAAAGAGCGAGCTGGATTTTAACGAGACAGAAGGTTGGCTAGATAACAGGAGCTCGATTATTTAAATCTTTATAGGTGAGAAGCTATGTTTTAAATATCGCTAAACCAGTGATAAGTGTAAGGAAACCAGTGTGTTTACACTGGTAGAAAAAAGACCGAGAAGCAAAATTGTTTTCTTTTAATAATTTAATTTATAATATTTCATTTTCATTTTTATAATTATCTTTTTAATTCATTATTTTTTATTTTTTTATATTTTTATTTGATATTTATTTAATTTTTCATTTTATTTGTTTAATTATTTATTTATTTTGCAATGTTTTATTTCCTAATTTTTTATTATTTTTATTTATTTAATTTATTTTTTTATTGTAATTATTTCTTCAATTAGTTTTTTATTTCAAGATATTTTATTTCTTAATTTTTTTAATTAAATTTTATTTCTGTAATTATTTCTTCAATCATTTCTTTATTTCATTATATTTTATTTCTTAATTTATTTTAATTTCCATAATTTTTTATTGTTTCTTGATTTCATAATCTTTATTATAATTGCGTTGTTTTTTTGTCTAGTATTTTATGCATGTATTTTTTTTACTTCTGCACTCTTTGTTTATAAAACACTTTGAGATGCTACTTTTACAGGTGCTATTTAAAATAAAGTTGATCATTATTATGATCATGATTAAATAAAATAAATGTAAAAGGGTTAAGCATTAATATATCAGAACTACATAAACGACACTGCATCATGCAAATGTGATGACCCTATGTATATAAACACAAGGTAATTAATGTTATTAAAGCGAAAACAAGAGTATTTTAGTCGTTTTAAGGAGAAACTCACTTCATTTTGACTCATTATATCTGCAAACAAGACTATATTTTTGGCTTGTCTAGAAAATTCTTCTTGATTTAAGACTTTTGAGATATTTGGACTAGAAACAAGACACAAACTCTGAGTAAATAAAGTGTTCTGCAGTGTGTGTGTGTGCTGTTTTGCTCTAATCTTTAATATGATTGTGTTTTTAGGTGCTTGAGACTTGTGTGAAAAACTGCGGCCACCGTTTCCACGTCCATGTAGCCAACAGAGACTTCATTGAAGGCGTGATGGTGAAGATAATCAGCCCGAAGAACAACCCTCCTGCTATAGCCCAGGACAAAGTGCTGGCGCTGATACAGGTCAGTTCAGCTCAAACAACATCTGCATTTGTGTTTTTGCCAATTAAAATGCACCATGACAGAGATATTATGCAGAAATCACTTCTATAAGGAGTTTAAACACAGCAGCAGTGTGTGTGTATCTCCAGCAGCCTGTAATAGTCAACAGTAATTAATTGTGTTTATTATACTCAGACTTGATGCAGAAACACTTTGATTGACATTCTCTCTTTGTACGTGTCATCAGAGGGGAGAAGCCCCGCCCACTTGTGCCTATCTTAGTGCTATTCTCAGCTCAAACTCATCAGAGACGCATTTTACATCTATTAAAAAGGGGGACAATATCTCTCCTTTAAGGTTGACTAGTCTGTGCAAGCTCTCGTGTAAACATACCTGTGTGTGTGTGTGTGTGTGTGTGCGTGCTCAGGCTTGGGCCGATGCGTTCAGGAGCAGTCCAGACCTGACTGGAGTGGTGCACATTTACGAGGAGCTAAAGAGGAAAGGGGTGGAGTTTCCCATGGCGGATCTGGACGCTCTCTCGCCCATACACACACCACAGCGGGTGAGAGATCGCATACACAAGTCTCATATCACCATATAAGTCATCTCATATCCTGATATATATATATATAGTACCATTAATGTAAACTCACTATGTGGTAAATCATGAATTAAATTATTTGATATTTATTTAATGATTTAATTGATTTTTTTGCCTTAAATTGATTTTATTAATTGTTTAATATTTATTTGTATTTAATATTAATTAATTAATAAATTTTAAGCTTAAAAATCACCTTTAATCAGTTAGTTTCTTAAATTTGAATTAAATTAAATTTATTTAATAAAATTTTAAGCTTAAATTAGAATTTAATTATGTAATATTTATTTATTTAATTAATTTTTTTGAATATTAATTTAATTAATAAATTTTAGCTTAATTCACTTTTAATTAATTTATTTCTTTAAATTTGAATTAAGTTATTTAATATTAATTCAATGCATTTATTTTTAAGCCTAAAAATTATTTAATAATTGAATATTTAATTACTTGATTTATTTAATTTATTTTAGCTTGAATTAGTTTAATTATTTAATATTTATTTAATTTATTTTAGGCTTAAATTAGAATTTAATAATTAAATATTTATTATTTAATTTATTTTTAAGCTTAAATGAGAGTTTAATCATTTTATATTTATTTATTTAATTTATTTTTATTTATTAATAATTTAATGAATTAATTTTAAGCTTAATTCACTTTTAATTAATTCATTTGTTTAAATTCGAATTAAATAATTTAATATTTACTCAATGTATTTATTTTTAAGCCTAAAAAATATTTAATAATTGAATATTTAATTATTTGATTTATTTTACGTAGAATTTAATTCTTTTATATATTATTATTTATTCTTAATCTTAATAGGATAATAATATATATCACCATATAGTACCATTTCTTTAAACTCTGTCCCTTAATAGTTTATATAAATTGTGCACATGTAAAGGACATTTTACAGTATATTCTCAGAAATCTACTCATATGTGATCATATTCCTCACTTTATGTAGAACTTCATGACAAATCTTGGAGTAAACATATAAAATAAATATGAATAAAATATTTATACTGATGATTTCAGGCCCAACATAAGAAAATCACCCAATGATGTGTGAAGTGGAAGCATTGTGCTTTCAAGACTGCACATTTCTCCTGATGCAGTTCAGTTCAGTCTGTAACGGCGTCTAATAAAGCCCTAATATCAATTATGAATCAGTATTATCTTAAATAATCTGTTTTACGACAAAACAATGACAGTAAAGCAACAGCTCGTGTGTTTGTTTTCATCTTGGGGTGTGTGTTTGTTGTTTGCAGGGTGTCCCGGAGGTGGATCCAGGCACACACAGGTATAAAGCACCTGCGCAGACACACACTGCACCTGAGAGGAGCCCTAAACCTGCAGCCGCTGCAGCGCCAGTCTTCAACAACACACACATCCAGACTGCAGCAGGACCCATCTCTGCAAACCCAGAGCAGGTTCTCCCGATTTCACTCTCTTACATGCAAAGATCAGATGTGCTACTGAGAAGTGCAAACCATAAAACTATTTATTGTTTAATTAAATTTAATTTAGTTTAATTTAATTTAATTTAATTTAATTTAATTTAATTTAATTTAATTTAATTTAATTTGTTTATTTCTAAGCTTAAAAAATATAATTTAATTATTTTATGTTTATTTAATTATTTTATTCAGTTTTTACATGATTTAATTATTTAATTAATTTTTAAATTTAATTTAATATTTATTTCATTATTTAATTTATTTTTAAACTTGAAGATTATAATTTAATTATTTTATGTTAATTATTTTATGAATTTATTTCAATTTCTTTTTTTTTTTACATTTTTGTTTAATTAATTTAATATTTATGTGATTAAGATTTCTTCTTGCGGTTCATTCCGCTGTGGCAACTCCTGATGAATCAGTGACTAAGCCGAAGGAATTAAGGATTTATTATCTAATTTCTTTTTAAGCTTAACATTTAATTTTTAAATTTCATTATTTTATATTTATTTAATTATTTAATTTATTTTTTCTAATTGTATTTTTTATTAGAATTTAATTATTTAATATTTATTTTTTTCATTTATTTTTAAGCTTAAATTAGAATTTTATTATTTATTTAATTATTTTTAAGCTTAAATTGGATTTTAATTATTTCATATTTATTTATTTAATTTATTTTAAGCTTAAACTAGAATTTAATTATTTCAAATTTATTTATTTAATTTTTTTCTAAGTTGCTTTTTTATTATTTAATTTATTTTAAAGCTTTATTAAAATTGAATTTAACTGTTTAATATTTATTTAAATATTTTATTTATTGTTAAGCCTAATATATATATATATATAATTTAATTATTTTCTTTAAATTTAGGTGAGAATGTATATAGCTGTGTGTGTCTTTGTTGATAGTTGTGTTGTTTGTCCAGATTGCGCGTCTGCGGAGTGAGCTGGATATTGTGCGCGGGAATATTAAAGTGATGTCGGAGATGCTGACAGAGATGGTGCCGGGCCAAGAAGACGCATCTGATCTCGAATTACTCCAGGTATTATGAACAAACAATATCTGATGATGATGATAATAATAAGTCCTAGCGGTTTGCACAGCTTCCACTGCAAAAGAAAATCTCAACACTTTTCCCTGACGAGTTTACATGTGTCCACATGAGAATGCAGCAGCACAGATCTCCTCCATGAACCTGTGTGTTTAACGCTTTCCAATGTGACACTGCTTAATTCTTAATTCTGATGTCAGACAAATTAATTTAATTACAAACTGAAGTATTAGTAAAAAACATTAGTAAGTTGAAGTTGTTTGTGCAATGGTGTGCGTCAGGAGCTGAACCGGACCTGTCGAGCCATGCAGCACAGGATCGTGGAGCTCATCTCTCGCGTATCCAATGAAGAGGTCACCGAAGAGCTGCTGCATGCTAACGATGATTTAAACAACATGTTCCTGCGCTACGAGAGGTGAGGCTCTATCATAGTATATACAGATGCAGTCAGAATTATTAGTCCTCCTGTATGTTTTTACCTTAATTTCTGTTTAACAGATTTCTCCAACACATTTCTAATAATAATAGAGTTAATAACTCATCTCTAATAACTGATTTCATGATGACAGCACATAATATTAGACTAGATATTCTTCAAGACACTAGTGTTCAGCTTAAAGTGACATGTAAAGGCTTCACTAGGGTAATTAGGGTAAAGTTAGGGTAATTAGGCAAGTCATTGTATAACAGTGGTTTGTTCTGGAGACAATCCAACACTAATATTGCTGAAGGGGTGAATAATATTGAGCTTAACATGACTTTAACACTATTAAACACTGCTGTTATTCTAGCACAAATAAAACAAATCAGACTTTCTCCAGAAGAACAGACATTAGAGGAAACACTGAGAGAAACTCCTGAATCTGTTCATCATTTGGGAAATAATTGAGGAGGTAAAGTAATTCACAGGAGGGCGAACAATTCTGAATTCATCATCACGCTAGATAGATGCAAGTGTTGTTTTGCTGGTTAAATAAAGAGTAAAAATAAAGATGTTTTTTTTTAACCATTATTTAACCAGAAAAGACTCTCTGAGATAAATAATCTCTTTCTCAGGAGAGTCCTGGCCAAACATTCAAGGCCTTACCAAGACAAACTGCACATTAAGAACACTGTAAACTATTTAAAACCATAGAGTACATTTACATTCAGTCATTTAGCAGATGCTTTTATCCAAAGCGACTTACAAATGAGGACAAGGAACAAATTTACACAACTATAAGAGCAACAGTGAAGAAGTGCTGTAGGCAAGTTTTTAGGTGTGTAAATTGTAAGAAGCAAAAACATTAGTCATTTAAAAAAATATATATATATATATTAATGTAGTTAGTGGAGGAGTCAGAGAGGCAATTGCAGATTAGGAAGGGAAGTGGAGACTAAATAGTTGAGTTATTAGTTGTTTCTTGAAGACAGCGAGTGACTCTGCCGTTCTGATGCAGTTAGGGAGTTCATTCCACCAACTGGGCAGATTGAACGCGAGAGTTCGGGAAAGTGATTTCTTCCCTCTTTGGGATGGAACCACGAGGCGACGTTCATTCACAGAACGCAAGTTTCTGGAGGACACATACATCTGCAGAAGTGAGAGCAGATAAGAAGGAGCAAAGCCAGAAGTCGCTTGGTAGGCAAACATCAGAGCTTTGAATTTGATGCGAGCAGCAACTGGCAGCCAGTGCAAACAGATGAGCAGCGGAGTGACATGTGCTCTTTTAGGTTCATTAAAGACCACTCGTGCTGCTGCGTTCTGGAGCAGATGAAGAGGTTTGATAGAGTTAGCTGAAGCCCGGCTAGTAGAGAGTTGCAATAGTCCAGACTAGAGAGAACAAGAGCTTGAACAAGGAGTTGAGCTGCATGTTCAGAAAGAAAGGGTCTGACCTTTCTGATGTTATAGAGTGCGAATCTGCACGATCGAGCAGTTCTAGAAATGTGGTCAGGGAAGTTTAGCTGGTCATCAATCGTTACTCCAAGGCTTTTCACCATTTTGGATGCAGTAATGGTTGCTCCGTCCATCTGGATTTAAAAGTTATGATGTAGAGTCAGAGGAGAAACTTCAAGCATTTCTGTTGTGAATGATCATGCATTTGCTGAATGAGTGTCTTAAAATGGTCCAATATTTAATTTAGGATCACAAACTTACATATACTCTTTTGGGATTTGTTGTTTGTTTCTAACAGGTACGAGAGATATCGAGTCGGCAGAGCTGCACAAAACAACGGGGTGAGTTTGACACTCTGTGCTCTTTAATACGCTAGGTCAGACTTTATTTTGATGGTCTGTTTGTTGAATTTAAGTTACACTGCATCTACATGCCTGCTAATTCTCATTAGATTATAAGTAGACTGTTAGGATGGGGTTAATGTTAGTCAGACAAGTTGACATGTACTTGCAAAGTGTCTTCTAGTCGGTGAAATGTCTGTTTAAGGAGCAGCATCAGCAGATATTCAGCAGACAGTCTACTAATAGTCTAATGCACCATCAAAATAAAGAGCTACCGTAGGCTGTATTATTTGTCTAGCATCAGTGTTTATGTTTCACTCGTGTGCTCGCTGTTGATTTTGCATGCTCATGTCTTTATTGAATGTTTTTAATGTTTGCATGATGCTTAGCTGAGAGAGGCAAGTATGATCTGTGTGTAACTGTGAGTGAAGTAGGGTGATGCTACCAGTTTACCGACCCTTGTTTTCCTTAATTCTTCCAATCGATGCCCTAAATCAGTTCTGTAGCTTTCTCATACGAAGACATGAGTCACACTTTACAATAAGGTTTCATCAGTTCATTTATTTACTAACATATATTAATAAAAAACAGCATTTATTAATCATTCGTTCATTTTCCTTCGGCTTAGTCCCTTATTTATTAGGGGTCGCCACAGCGGAATGAACCGCCAACTATTCCAGCATATGTTTTACACAGTGGACACCATTCCAGCCTCAAACCAGTACTGGGAAACACCCATACACATGCACACTCATACACTACAGCCAGTTCAGTTGATCAATTCCCCTATAGCGCATGTGTTTGGACTGAAGCACCCGGAGGAAACTCACGCCAACACGGGGAGAACATGCAAACTCCACACAGAAACACCAACTGATCCAGCCGGGACTCGAACCAGTGACCTGAGTGCTGTGAGGCCACAGTGCTAACCATTGAGCCTCCGTGACACCCTGTTTATGAATCATAGCTTAATATTTATTTGTGCATTATTAAAATCCAAATTCATGCTAGTTATCATCAGTTTAACATCAGCATTATTGTTTATTTACATTAGCATGGATGAGTTATTATTATTAAAGTCTTTTGTTCATCTTATTAAATATATTAACTAACAATAACTAATACAACCTGATTGTAAAGTGTGACCGAGGTGTTAAACTCATGATTTAGAAAGCGTAGTGCTTACCTGTGTGTGTGTGTGTGTGTGTGTTTGTATCTACTATAGGCGGGCATATATTATTTTTTAAATCTAGATTAATCTAGGAATTAATCCAGATTAAAATGGCTCATTCAGAATATGTGTGCTACCTAAATAATGACTAAAGTCTTTGGGAACGGGTTTCTCTAGCCAGGTGTCGCATTAGAGCAGGGGCTATCTCCTGTTTCCAAAATGCATCACAGACTGCTGGAGGAGCTGTTCTACTGTGATAATTGGTGATGAAAATAAATGATGTTCAGTAAGATGTGCTTGTGTTTATTAACTGTTTATTCAGGTAAACATAAATGTTGAACTGTCGGCCTACATAAGCTCCAAACGGCCATTTCTGATGACCTTAAGTCATCACTGAACTAAGCAGACATGATAAGAGGCCCACCACTAATATTTACATATTAATCATTATGCATCTTAAATAATTCATGAATAAATAACCTAAAGCAAGCGCACACACATTTGCTATTTGATCTAATAATCTGCTATTTTTTATATATATTGCATGTAGAACACGTTCAGAACACATTCATTAAAATATTAAAATAGTCATGAATTATTTAGTTCAGGGGTGTCCAAACTCGGTCCTGGAGGGCCGGTGTCCTGCAGATTTTAGCTTCAGCTTGCCTCAACACACCTGGGAGGATGCTTCTAGAAAGCCTAGTGAGAGCTTGATCAGCTAGCTCAGGTGTGTCTGATTGGGCTTTGAACCAAACTTTGCAGGGTTTGGACACCGCTGATTTAGTTTAATATAAGCGAATAATAGTTGGCGGTTCATTCCGCTGTGGCGACGTCTTATAAATTAGTGTCTAAGCTGAATGAATGAATGATCTATTTGTATTTTCATGATGGAGATGTCTTCATTACGCCAGTGTGTGTATAGTGAGGGATTGTCATGTTAATATTCTGATGATTAGAGCAGTGTGTGTGTGTGTGTGTGTGTGTGTGTGTGTGTGTTGTGAATGCGCAGGTGCTGAATGAGGCTTCAGAGGAGGATAATCTAATAGATCTGGGTCCCGGATCTCCAGCGGTGGTCACTCCTCGCATCAGCACTACACCCACACACACTCACACACACACACACATGCAGACTCCTCCCGCTGCTCCTGCTGCTGCTGATACTGCATCCCTGTCCACACAGCTGGCGGGACTTGGTGAGGATCACACACAAACACACACACACACATATATACATACACACACCTGCAAACATGCACACACACACACACACACACACACACACACAGACACGCATAAATACATACATATACATATATGATAAGATTCACACATACATACAGTCCTATACACAAACGCACACACATACATACACACATACATAAATACATACATAACCACGCATGCATACATACGTACACACATGCACACATATACTGTATATGTATATATATATATATATATATATATATATATATATATATATATATATATATATATATAAATAAATAATTGTTTTTTTAGGCAAAGAAAAGTAGAGCCATCTGACCAATCAGAAACAGCAGGGTGGGGTTTCAGAAACAGCAGGGCGGGGTTTCAGAAACAGCAGGGCGGGGTTTCAGGAACAGCAGGGCGGGGTTTCAGGAACAGCAGGGCGGGGTTTCAGAAACTTCAGGGTGGGGTTTTAGAAACAGCAGGGCGGGGTTTCAGGAACAGCAGGGCGGGCTTTCAGAAACAGCATGGCGGGGTTTCAGAAACAGCAGGGTGGGGTTTCAGAAACAGAAGGGTGGGGTTTCAGAAACAGCAGGGCGGGGTTTCAGGAACAGCAGGGTGGGGTTTCAGAAACAGAAGGGCGGGGTTTCAGGAACAGCAGGGTGGGGTTTCAGAAACAGAAGGGTGGGGTTTCAGAAACAGCAGGGCGGGGTTTCAGAAACAGCAGGGCGGGGTTTCAGGAACAGCAGGGCGGGGTTTCAGAAACAGAAGGGCGGGGTTTCAGAAACAGCAGGGTGGGGTTTCAGAAACAGCAGGGCGGGGTTTCAGAAACAGCAGGGTGGGGTTTCAGAAACAGCAGGGCGGGGTTTCAGGAACAGCAGGGTGGGGTTTCAGAAACAGAAGGGCGGGGTTTCAGGAACAGCAGGGTGGGGTTTCAGAAACAGAAGGGCGGGGTTTCAGGAACAGCAGGGTGGGGTTTCAGAAACAGAAGGGTGGGGTTTCAGAAACAGCAGGGTGGGGTTTCAGAAACAGCAGGGCGGGGTTTCAGGAACAGCAGGGTGGGGTATCAGAAACAGCAGGGCGGGGTTTCAGGAACAGCAGGGTGGGGTTTCAGAAACAGCAGGGCGGGGTTTCAGAAACAGCAGGGTGGGGTTTCAGAAACAGCAGGGTGGGGTTTCAGAAACAGCAGGGCGGGGTTTCAGGAACAGCAGGGTGGGGTTTCAGAAACAGCAGGGTGGGGTTTCAGAAACAGCAGGGCGGGGTTTCAGGAACAGCAGGGTGGGGTTTCAGAAACAGCAGGGCGGGGTTTCAGAAACAGCAGGGCGGGGTTTCAGGAACAGCAGGGTGGGGTTTCAGAAACAGCAGGGCGGGGTTTCAGGAACAGCAGGGTGGGGTTTCAGAAACAGAAGGGCGGGGTTTCAGGAACAGCAGGGTGGGGTTTCAGAAACAGAAGGGCGGGGTTTCAGGAACAGCAGGGTGGGGTTTCAGAAACAGAAGGGCGGGGTTTCAGGAACAGCAGGGTGGGGTTTCAGAAACAGAAGGGCGGGGTTTCAGGAACAGCAGGGTGGGGTTTCAGAAACAGAAGGGCGGGGTTTCAGGAACAGCAGGGTGGGGTTTCAGAAACAGAAGGGCGGGGTTTCAGGAACAGCAGGGTGGGGTTTCAGAAACAGAAGGGTGGGGTTTCAGAAACAGCAGGGCGGGGTTTCAGGAACAGCAGGGTGGGGTTTCAGAAACAGAAGGGCGGGGTTTCAGAAACAGCAGGGCGGGGTTTCAGGAACAGCAGGGTGGGGTTTCAGAAACAGAAGGGCGGGGTTTCAGGAACAGCAGGGTGGGGTTTCAGAAACAGAAGGGCGGGGTTTCAGGAACAGCAGGGTGGGGTTTCAGAAACAGAAGGGTGGGGTTTCAGAAACAGCAGGGCGGGGTTTCAGGAACAGCAGGGTGGGGTTTCAGAAACAGAAGGGTGGGGTTTCAGAAACAGCAGGGCGGGGTTTCAGGAACAGCAGGGTGGGGTTTCAGAAACAGAAGGGCGGGGTTTCAGAAACAGCAGGGCGGGGTTTCAGGAACAGCAGGGTGGGGTTTCAGAAACAGAAGGGCGGGGTTCAGGAACAGCAGGGTGGGGTTTCAGGAACAGCAGGGTGGGGTTTCAGAAACAGAAGGGCGGGGTTTCAGGAACAGCAGGGTGGGGTTTCAGAAACAGAAGGGCGGGGTTTCAGGAACAGCAGGGTGGGGTTTCAGAAACAGAAGGGCGGGGTTTCAGGAACAGCAGGGTGGGGTTTCAGAAACAGAAGGGTGGGGTTTCAGAAACAGCAGGGCGGGGTTTCAGGAACAGCAGGGTGGGGTTTCAGAAACAGAAGGGCGGGGTTTCAGAAACAGCAGGGCGGGGTTTCAGGAACAGCAGGGTGGGGTTTCAGAAACAGAAGGGCGGGGTTTCAGGAACAGCAGGGTGGGGTTTCAGAAACAGAAGGGCGGGGTTTCAGGAACAGCAGGGTGGGGTTTCAGAAACAGAAGGGTGGGGTTTTGAGAGAACAACTCATTCAATAAATTGTTTGAAGCACTGACAGATGATGGCGAAATTTAGATTCTGAAAAAAAATGAGGTTAACAATAAGTATTTTTTTGATCTTGGACGAAAATAAATCTATTGTTGGAAACATCAACCTTTAAAATAGATTAAAAGGTGCACATTAATAGTAAAATATGCAACCTTATATAGCCTGCTTTTCTCCTGCAGATGTCAGGTCAGACAGCGTCAGCGGGACGCTCAGCTCTCTGGCCAATCACAACCCTCAGGACGACTTCGACATGTTCGCACACACACGCTCCAGCTCTCTGGCCGAGCAGCGCAGGAAGTGAGTGTACACACACACACGCACAAACACATACTCACACAATGCTGAAAACCGGTGAACAAATGAACAAGTAAATAAATAATTGATTTAATAAAAAATGAATGAATAAATAAATGAATAATTGAATAAACAAATAAATAAATAAATGAATAAACAAATGAATAAATAAATACATAAATAATTTAATCAAATAATAAATTAATAATACAATAAATGAAGAAAAAAATTGAATAAATAAACAAACAATTGAATAAACTAATAAATGAATAAATAAATATTTGAATAAACTAATAAATTAATCAATAAATAATTTAATAAACTAATAAATGAATACATAAATTTAATAAATGAATGAATAAATAAACAAATAATTGAATAAATAAATAATTGAACAAATGAATAAATAAATAATTGCATAATTGAATAAAATAAATAAATAATTGGATAAATAAACAAACAAATAAACAATTAAATAAACTAATAAATAAATAATTGAATAAACTAATGAATAAATAAATAATTGAATAAAAATAATTTAATAAATGAATAAATAAGTTAATAAATAAATAAATAATTGAATAAATGAAAGAATAAATAAATAAATAAATAAATAAATAATTAAATAAATAATTATATAAGTAAATAGTTAATTGAATAAATAATAAATTAAATAAATAAATAAATAATTTAATTAATAAATAATTGAATAAATAAATAAATAACGGAATAAATGAATAAATAAATCATTGAATAAATAAATAAACAAATAATTAATTGAATAAATAAATGAATAAAAAATAAATAATTGAATAAATAAATAATTGCATAAATAAATAAAATAAATAAATACATGAGTAAATAAATAAATAAATAATAATAACAATAACAATAAATATGCTCTGATTGCGGTGTTCTCTTGCAGTGTTAAATATGAGGATCCTCAGGCTCTGGTGGGTTTGGCCTCAGCATTAGACATCAGACAGCAGAACGCCACTGGGGTGAGTTTATACACACACACACACACACACACACACACACTGATGAAGACTGATAATAAATGAGCACACTCACTGCAGCACTGTACTGTAGTTTCTACACTCAAATATATTGACACTATGAGGTCTCTCAGTGTCAAACCACACCATGATTGATGCACAATTACAGAATTGTTCATGACCAGAGTGAGTAGATAACTCCCCTCCGCTCTTCAGTTCATGATCGCCCCCCTTTTAAGCATCCCCCCCACACTTTTCAGTTTTACCAGCATATATATACCCCACTCAGCCCTGTTAGACCATGCGCCGGCTGCAGAGCGGATTTTATTGTGGATTCAGACATGCTCCTAACGCTTTTGCGCCCTTCACTTTAGACTTTGCGCCTAGATCATTAAAATTGAGCCTAAGGTCTTATTTCAAGGTCTTATTCTTATTTCTTCAAAGTCAAAATAAAATGAGTTTTCATTTAAACAAGAAAATGCTTCTTGATTTTAATAATGTGCAGATATTTGGACTAGAAACAAGACCTTAAGCAGGAAAAGCATTCGTGCTGTGTGTCTTTAAATCAAATGGGTAAACAGTGAGGTTTCTCCAAAGTCTGATGGTGTCAGTGAAACTCAGTGTTATGAAATCCTCATGTTAGCAAATCACTCCAGATATTTTATATCTCCATTATTAGCACACACAGGCGTTGTGTTGAAATGCACTGATGTTACACAACAGTCCTGCAGTGCCCAGCCATCAGCCCACAGCTCAAAGTTTACATCTCTTTATATCTATATATATTTCTCCTCCTCTTGTTTGTTTTCTCCTCTCCATCTACTGCAGTTCACTGACTCAGAGTGACTTTCTCTTATTGAGACTTTAGTGCTTTAGTCCTGGTTTGGGTGTGTGTGTGTGTGTTTTCCTTCTTTTTCTGCACGTGTGTAAGCTGTTTTCTGTTGTTGATTCAGCCCAATGTAAAAGGCGCTAACGCTGAGCTGGAGCCCATAGACAGCTGGCTTATGACCCAAGGAATGGTGAGGATGCCACCAGAAACACTGTGTCTGTTCATCCCTCCATCAACACTAAACACGGCACAGTAAAGCAGAGAGACGCTCTCGGAGACACCATTATTCATCTCTGATGAGCTCTGCTCTCGGCTCTCTCCTTCTTTACTGTGCTTCACCTCATTTTCACCTCATTCCTCAGGGGAAAAGCTGTAGATTTCACCATCATCATCCACTATCTAGATGCTGGACTCTAACCTGGATTAAAACTAGTGTATCCAGTGTTTGGCTATTGCACGCCGTAATCTCACTTTCCAGATTCACATTATTTTAGTGACTTTATATAAACTGATATGCAAAAACAAAGAACTAAATAACTCTTTATTTATTTATATTATTATTATTATTATTATTATTCATTCATTCATTCATTTAGTCATTCATTCTTTCTTCTTCTTATTTATTATTATAATATTTATTTTATTACTATTGTTCACTGTTATTTTTTATTATTATTTATTTATTTTATATTTTTATTATTGGTATTCATTATTATTATTAATATTATTATTATATTTATGTATTTATTATTATGCATTATTCTTGATTAAGATTCATAATATTATTATTTATTTATTATAATATTTATTTATTATATTATTATGCATAATTAGTTATTATTATTATTTATTCATTATAATATTTATTTATTTTATTATTATTCATGTATTATTATTATTATTAGTACTATTATTCATTTATTTATTAAATTATTTATTTATTGTATTATTATTATTTAATAATAATGCAACAAATAAATAATAAAATAAATAAATATATTAATTATTATTATTATTATTCATTAATAATATAATTATTTAATAACAATATTTATTTATTCATGTTATTGTTATTCATTATAATTATTCATTATTTGTTTATTATTTATTATTTATTATAATATTATTTATTACATTATTATGCATCATTAGTTATTATTATTATTTATTAACAAAAAAATATTTTATTGTTTTTCATTATTATTATTTATTTACTTGTTTATTATTTATTATAATATTTTTATTATATTATTATGCTTCATTAGTTATTGCTATTATTATTTTTATAATAATATTTATTTTATTGTCATTCATTATTATTATTTATTTAATTATTTATTATTTATTATAACATGTATTTATTGTATTATTGTGCATCATTAGTTATTATTTATTATTTTACTGTTAGAAATTATTATTATTTTTTATTTGTTTATTTTTTATTATATTTATTTATTATATGATTCATTATTATTATTACTTATTGTATAATTTATTATTATTATTATTATTTACTATTATAATATTTATTTATTATATTATTATGCATCATAAGTTATTATTATTTATTTGTTTATTATTCATTATATATTGTATTATTTATTTATTATACTATTATGCATGATTAGGTATTATTATTATGTAATAATAAAATTTTTTATTTTATTGTTATTCATTATCATTATTTATATATATGTTTATTTTTATTATCATCATCGTTAATGTTAAACTGTGCCTATTATTTTTCTGTAATCTATAATACTTATTTTTGCCGAGTATTTTGATAAACAGTATTTATTTTTAAATGAAATCCTTGTTTTGCTGTCAACTTTTGAACTGCTTAAAGCATTCTTTATGAATAAAATCTAATTATTAGTTAATTATTTCTGTTTTAAACAGTTTATTAAGCCATAAACATAAATCAAAAAAATATGTATCGGTGTGAACGGGCTTTACCGTTTTTATAGCAGATCCAGATCTTTCATAAAGGCTTTCCTCTTATATAACAATAAAAATAATAATAAATAATTTCTACTATTAAAACAAACCAGCTCTCCTTAATAACTCACCTCAAACTAAACTCAATAACAGTTGTGTTTGAACAGATTTGACTGAACTAATTAACAATAATTAAATAATAATTAAAATAATAACTGGATGTATGAGCTGGTGTGTGAAATGAACGTGAATAAATGTTAAACACCAGACGTGTGTGTCTGGTCAACTTATTCTGGTATTTCATCATATATATATATATATATATATATATATATATATATATATATATATATATATATATATATATGTGTGTGTGTGTGTGTGTGTGTGTGTGTGTGTGTGTGTGTGTGTGTGTGTGTGTGTGTGTGTGTGTTCGTGTGTTTATTAGAGTTTTTTGTGATAAATTATTAGCAATAATTCGATCAATAAATATTTATTTTTGTACAAATAAATAGTTAATTATTAAATAAATAAACAAATGAACAAATAAACGAACAAATAAGTAAATAAATAAATAAGTAATCTGCAGTGTGTGTGGTGTTCTGCAGGTGTAGTGTGGTGCTGATTACTGCAGAGGTGTGTTTACTTCTCCTGTGTGTTTACCTCACACTCCAGCATCTCTCACTCGCTCTGCATGACCACCAGTGCTTTTGCTGCTGTCTGTGCGTGTGTGAGAGAGTTTTCGAGTGTGTGTTTATGAGAGTGTGTGTGTTTGTTTTTGATTGTATGTGTGTGTATGTATATATGAGCAATATCACACTCGTAGCAGTGGGATGTGGCTGTATATTAGCACTGGTGGTAGGCCTGCTTTGGCTCGGTCACAGGCTGAGTGCCTTAGTGTCCCACCAGTGCTGGTATATTGAGTGTGAGTGTGATGTTGTGTTTATACAACAGTTCGATGGCATAGTCGTGTGTAAGACAAGGAAAATCAAATACGGAGAGTTTAAAAACATCTGCAGCTGACATTAGAACAGCAGAAACCGCTGCTCATTCACCAACGCCACTGTAGAGCTAGTGTTTGAGTGATTCTCTAGCGTAATGTCTAAAGTGTAGACAGAACAGCTGATTTTGCTCACAGTTTAAGATTATAAGGCTGAACAGCAGGAAATGCCATCAGTCTACAGAGAACTCGAGAGATCACAATAATTAACCCTGAAAAAGCCCAAGCAAAACAAACACTAGCAGATTACTGTTGTGTTTGCTTTGAGGACAAACGCTGAACACATGCGGGCATTTCTTCTGTCTTTCTGTTTACTGAACTAGTCTGCAGTAACGAAAACAGGAGACGCATTAGAAACAGATGGCCAACCACATAGTAAAAATTGGCTAACACAAAATACACACATTCCTGATATGCGAGTCCCATCGCACACTCAACACACTACAGTCACTATGGTACAAATACAACACTGCAGCATACAAAAAAGAGAGATGGAGATAAGACTGTCGCACACTAGATACGCAGCTCGACGACACGCCACACCACGCATTTTAGAATTCTGAATATACATTTCTATCTGGGTACGCACACCGGCGCCGCAAGTTGGCAGCTGTGCGTGGCATAGAGCGCCATATGAATAGTTTCGTATTAAATAAGATGCGAATGTGCGCGTCTGGTGTGCGATACTTCCAACCTCCATCCTGTTTAGAAAGTCTCTTATCTGTTTAATAATGATTTGATCAGCTTGTAGTTTGACATTACGCTCAGTTTTTCCTCCTCTAAGGACTTATTATGCAGTCTCTGTCGCCATCTTGTGGTCCTGCTCAGTGACAGGCTACTAGCCACCGAAATGATAAATATTTTAAATAGGCACCATCCTTATAAATAAACTGCATAGCTGCTATCTAAACAGCTACATTCTCCACTAAATAAGTCTCAAAAGTACATGATGTTGTCCAGCAGCTGCAATATTTGTCAAACTGTAGTGAGTTTATTGATCTGCTGTCACTATGTGGGCGGAGTAATACAGAAGAGTGAAGAGGCTGTACGAGTGCTGTTATTGCAGGATATCACACAGACAGACAGAACTGTTGTACTGTGTTTATATATATGTATGTTTATATGTATGTATATATATATATATATATATATATATATAAATATATATATATATATATATATATATATATATATATACACACACATATACACATATATATGCCTGTGTTTGTGTGTGTGCATGTGTGCGTGACTCAGCCTGACGCTTACTGCATTATTTCAGTTGTTGTTATTTTGCTCTGCTGGATCTTCTGGTGATTCTCTTGTGTGTGTTTGTGTCTGTCGGGGTTTATTTTCTGTTGTTTTGGTGTGTGTTTGGCTCTGTGGGGCTCCGCAGATCCCCGTCTCGCAGTCCTCTGTCATGGATGACATTGAGGAGTGGCTCTGTGCAGATGTGGTGAGATCTTCTTTTACCTTGATTTCACTCTGTTTTTCAACCTAACGTCCCGTGCTCTTCCTCACACCCATCATCATCATCATCGTCACCTCTGGGTTTTTTCTCATGCTAATCATTCATCCTCTCATTCAGCCGCTAACCAACACTAATTAGCTTCAGGGCCGAGCGAGCAGTGGTTTAAGGTTTGTTCAGCAATGTTTAAGTGTTTATTGTCGTCGGAAGAGAATCTGGACGTTTGTTCGTCTGTTGTTTGTTATTGTGTGTGTGTGTGTATGTGTGTGTGTGTTCTGATGTTTAAACAACTGTGTGCTTTTAATAATGTTAATAAATGTGATGTCCTTTATTTATTGGTTACTTTAAATAAAAATAATGCTATAATTTAATGCTCTGTATTGTTTTTTTGATGAGAGAAATACTGGAAAACACTTAAATTCAGATTATCTATACACATATTAGTGTATTATTTACTTTTTCCCAGTTATATAACAATAATAACATTGTCATAACTGTATGTCGTCATGTAGTTATTTTATATAAATTCTGCTTTGTTGAACTAATAATAATGTTACTATTTGATCAAATATTACAGTTTTACTGTATTTTGGGTCAAATAAACACAGCTTTGTTGAATATAAACACTTGTAAGAGAAGCTGTAGTCAGACTTAACTAATGTACACTGCAAACAGTGTTTTTCTTTTGAGTTTTTGCCTTGTTTTTAGTCCTGGACAAGCAGAGAAACTTGGTAACTGATATTGGCCGATACTGATGTATTTGAAACTGATATTTGGAAGCTGATAATTATTATTGACCGATACTGGTGTATTTCAAACCAATTTGTAGAATCCAATAATCGATATTAGCCGATACTAATATAATTTAAGCTGGCATTTGGAAGCTGATAACCAATATTGGCTGTTACTAATATATTTCAAGCCAGTATTTTAAATCGATAATTGATATAGTTTGAAACGGATATATTTCAAACCAATATTTGGAGACTAATACTGATATATTTAAACTGAAATTTAAAAGCTGATAACCGATATTAGCAGATACTGCTATATTTTAAACTGATATTTATAATATTTGGAAGCTGATGACTGATATCGGCCAAAACTGATAAAATTTATTCTAATATTTGGAAGCTGATAACCGATATTTAGCCGAGACTGATAGATTTATAGCAATATTTGGAAGCTGATGACTGATATCGGCCAGTATTGATAGATTTTATTCCAGTATTTGGAAGCTAATGACCAATATTGACCGATACTGATAGATTTTAAATCAGTATTTAGAACCTAATGACCGATATCGGTTGATACTGATAGATTTTAAGCTGATATTTGGAAGCCGATAACTGTTATCGGTCGATACTGACAGATTTTAAATCAATATTTCGAAGCTAATGATTGATATTGGCTGATACTGGTAGATTTTAAGCTGAAATTTGAAAGCCCATAACTGATATTGGCTGATACTGATGGATTTGAAGCTGATATTTGGAAGCTGACAGCTGATATTGGCCAATGCTGATAGATTTTAAGCTGATATTTGGAAGCCAATAACTGATATTGGCCGTTACTGATAGATTTTAAGCTGATATTTTGAAGCCAATAACCGATATCGGCCCATACTGATAGATTTTAAGCTAATATTTGGAAGCCAATAACCAATATCGGCCGATACTGATAGATTTTAAGCTGATATTTGGAAGCCAATAACCGATATTGGCCAATAATGTTAGATTTTAAGCTGATATTTGGAAGCCAATTACCGATATCGGCCGATACTGATAGATTTTAGGCTGATATTTGGAAGCCGATAACTGATATTGGCCGATACTGATAGATTTAAAGCAATATTTGGAAGCTGATGACTGATATCGGCCAGTATTGATAGATTTTATTCCAGTATTTGGAAGCTAATGACCAATATTGACCGATACTGATAGATTTTAAGCTGATATTTGGAAGCCGATAACTGTTATCGTCGATACTGACAGATTTTAAATCAATATTTCGAAGCTAATGATTGATATTGGCCGATACTGGTAGATTTTAAGATGAAATTTGAAAGCCCATAACTGATATTGGCTGATACTGATGGATTTGAAGCTGATATTTGGAAGCTGACTGCTGATATTGGCCAATGCTGATAGATTTTAAGCTGATATTTGGAAGCCAAAAACCGATATCGGCCCATACTGATAGATTTTAAGCTAATATTTGAAAGCCAATAACCGATATTGGCCGATACTGTTCGATTTTAAGCTGATATTTGGAAGCCAATTACCGATATCGGCCGATACTGATACATTTTAGGCTGATATTTGGAAGCCGATAACTGATATTGGCCGATACTGATAGATTTTAAGCTGATATTTGGAAGCCGATAACTGATATCGGCCGATATTGATAGATTTAAACCAATATTTGGAAACTGATGTTTTTAGTCCTGGACAAACAAAAAATGTCTTATTTTCAGAAATAATGAGTCAAAATGAAGTGAGTTTTCCTTAAAACAAGCTAAATAATCAGAGAATAATCTTGTTTTCACTTTGAAATAACATTATATTTCAAAACTCTAAGTAAAAACACTTATTTTGCAGTGCAGCAACGTTTCTCCCTACTGTCATTCAACGTATTGAAAATGTTCACAAGTGTGTACCTTTGTTTAATAAAATGAAGTGTTTTTCCTCCACTGAATGGTAGGTCGCTCTTCATTCTGTGTTTGTGGCACAGTGTGGCGTTTAAGTAATAAAAGCCACTCTTCTGATGTGTAAATAATTCAGTTTTCTCTGTCCTCTAACAGAAAGGTGAAGAGCCTGAGGAAGGAGTCTCGAGTGAAGGTATGAGACCCAAACTAATAACAATGTTTTTAATGTACAATAATCAGAAATGTTACAGTACTGAAATATCAACTGAGTTGCAAAAGCCAGAGTTAAACCCTTTAGAATGAGCCTGTACCTCTTTACTCTGAAATCTTGACCAATGTTTATAAAGCAAATGTTAAATGTGCAATAGCTTCAACAAATTGCTTTAAAAACCCAGCGTTGTGTTCATATTTTTGATTATGTTTATTTATGCAAATGTTTTGTTCCAATTTTGTTCCACTTTATGTAGTGGAATGACAAAAAACTCAACATTAAACTTAAGAATTGATCTGCCATGTAATTTGCAGTTATGCTGGAATAGAAATAAACATAAATGCCAGTAATACTGCTGTTATCACTACTACTACTACTACTACTACTAGAAACTGCAGATATCTTAAATATCCTCTCACTAATCCTAATGTTAAACCGATATTTGTTGTCTCTTTAGAGTTCGACAAGTTCCTGGAGGATCGGGCCAAAGCTGCAGACCAGGTTTCTCCTCTGGGTTCTCCTGGAGACCCCAGACCTCCTGTCAGTTCGTCCAGCAGCAGCCGCAGAAAGACCGAACAAATGGAGGATAATCTCTTTGCCTTGTAGAACAGTGATGGAGATACGAGTCCAGTAAACGCAAGCATATTCTCTCCAGCAGCTTCAACACGCCTGCTGCTCCTTCACACAGTTTTACAGCAGCAATAGCATCTAACATACAGCACTGTGAGGATTCTGCTTCTTTACAGCGATTATAAACACAACAGAGGACAGTTCATCAAGAAACGAAAATTCTGGCATTAGTTACTCACCCTTATGTTGTTTCAGAATCATAAGACTCATTTATCTTCAGATCACAGTTGAAGATCTATATAAGGATATTTATAAAATTAGATTCAATGTCAAGAGATTTATTTAAAACACATTAGACTATGGATGCAGCGATATGAACATTTTTGCAGGTACAACAATATCCAATTTATTTTTATGCAAAATATTTACTAATATATCACTGAATGACTAATTATGGCTGATACAATTTATTTTCAAGTCATATTTGGAAGTTCGTAACTGATATTGGCTAAGACTAATAAATTTTAAGCTGGTATTTGGAAGCCGATAATTGATATTGGCCGATACTAATATATTTCAAACAAATTTTTGGAACCCACTGACCAATATCGCCTAATACTGATATATTTCAAATTGATATTGTTAGCCGATAATCATAATCAGCCGATACTAGTATATTTCAAACTAATTTTTGGAATGCAATAACCAATATTGGCCTGATACTGATATATTTTAAGCTATTTTTTAAACCAATATTTGGAAACCAATACTGATATTTGTTAAACTTAAATTTGGAAGCTGATTACTAATATTAGCAGATACTAATCTAATAACAAATATTGATCGATAGTGATATGTCATACTAATTTGTGGAATACGATAAACGATATTGGCCGATACTGATATATTTTAAGCTGAATTGTAGAAGCTGATTATCAATTTTGGCCGTTACTGATTTATTCCAAACTAATCTGATAACCGATATAGGCTGATACTGGTATATTTCAAACCAATATTTAGAATTTGATTATTGATATTGTTTGATAGTTATATATTTGAAACCAATATTTTCCAGATAGTGCTGATGTTAACTGAAATTTGGAAGCTGATAACCGATATTAGCAGATACTGCTGTATTTTAAACTAATATTTGGAATCCAATAACTAATATTGGCCGATACTGAAAAATTTCAAACTGAAATTTTGAAGCCGATAACTGATCTTGGCTGAAACTGATAGATTTTATTCCAATATTTGGAAGCTGATAACTGATATTGTCTCATACTGATTTATTTTATTTTAAAACCGATATTTGGAAGTTGTTAACCGATATTGGCAAATATTGATTTTAAACTAATATTTGGAAGCTGATAACCGATATTACCCTATACTAATAGATTTTAAACTAATATTTGGAAGCTGATGACCAATATCAGCCAATACTGATACATTTAAATCAATATTTGGAAGCTGTTGAACGATATTTGCTTATACTGATAGATTTTAAAACAATATTCGGAAGCTGATAACCGAAATCGGCCAATACTGACAGATTTAAATCAAAATTTGGAAGCTGATGAGCAATATCGGCCAATACTTATAGGTTTTAAACCAATATTTGGAAGCTGATGACCGATATCGGCCAATACTGATATATTTAAATCAATATTTGGAAGCTGATGACCGATAACAGCCAATACTGCTAGATTTAAGTCAATATTTAAAAGCTGATAACCGATATTGACATACACTGATAAATTTTGAACCAATATTTGAAAGCTGATAATCAATATCTGTCGATACTGATAGATTTAAGTCAATATATCGAAGCTGATAACCGATATTGACCTATACTAATAGATTTTAAACTAATATTTGGAAGCTGATGACCGATATCAGCAGATACTGATATATTTTAAACCAATATTTAGAAGCTGATGACCGATATCAGCCAATACTGATATATTTAAATCAATATTTGGAAGCTGATGACCGATATCAGCCAATGCTGATATATTTAAATCAATATTTGGAAGCTGATGACCGATATCAGCCAATGCTGATAGATTTAAATCAATATTTGGAAGCTTATAACCGATATTGACCTACACTGATAGATTTTGAACCAATATTTGGAAGCTGATAATCAATATCTATCGATACTGATAGATTTTAACTATATTTGAAAACCATAAACCAGTATCTGCCGATACATAAATCTTTGACACATGTCTACAAGAGGAGAGATGACATGAGAGCACACATTTTCAATATACAAAAATAAACAAAAGTCTAAATGTGTCAGGAAGGATATGGGAGTGAGTTGTTAATGTCAGAATAAAATTTTGGGTGAACTATCTCTTTAAGCTGAACGGCGCAGTCTAAGCGATGTCTTAAGCCAGCATGTAGCTGAAATAACTGCTCATTGCTTTTGAATAACCAATAAGCAGTTGAGTAGAGCAGTTTGTTTTCGTGTTTATTGTTCATTAATGAACTAATAATCTGAAGCTTAAAGTATACTTCGGTTGTTACAAAGAAAATGTCAATGAATCTCCAATGAAAATGCTAAAACAGAGACAAAAATCACATTTAAAAGCCGTCTCATACTTCACTTTCTCATTAAATCTGCTGTCCAATTAAATGCTTGCTAGTGTCTGACAAACCCCACCCCTTTATTCTAATTGGCTGTTCATTAGATGCGCTTGAGTTCAGCAGCTCTCACTGGCAGAGCTGAGTAAAAAACAGCACGTTTTTTGAAAGAGGGAGGAGCCACTGTATGCCCCGCCCTCTCATCATATTTTAGTTGACATCACATTAAAAACGTTGAATAAAAAGTGCACATAATAGTCACAATTTTCTGAAATATTGGATTCAGATACACAACTACTCGTCCAACTCTCTCCATTCAGATATTCAGTGATGCTTTTGCTGTAATGTGATTGGTTATCAAAGCACACATGATCAGCATTGGCCAATGTCTCCAAATAATAATAATGTCAACTTGTTTGGTCAAATAATAATGTCCACTGTTCATATAAATGTGCAAACCCAAGTATTCTTTAAGCTTTAGTGTCTGCCGTTGTGTGAGGTTGATCATTTGGGCGAGAGACAACCGTGATTGGCTGGTCTGAGGAAGGTAAATGAATACATTCTTGTTAATTAGCATATGCAAATGACCAAAGACAGAAAAACACACTTGTTTCCCATCTTAAATGAAGAGATTTGGACTCTTTCTGAAAGAGTTGTCCATGCCGGTATTAACAGCTTCAAATATAGACATTTTAAAGCACTGTGTCTAGAGAAATGCATCTTTATTTCACAGTTTTTCCTCAATATCTCATTCCAAAGTAAAGGAAATATATATATATATAGTGTTCATCATATATGAGTTCACCACTCACTGAGCTCTCTTTTAAATTAATGATGCTTTACAGTAATATATTTCTGCATATACATTAGATTATTCTGTACCAAAGGCAAAACTGCAGCTAATTTAAGAAAATAACTGAAGATCACAGTGCAAAAATGACTACACAATTTAATATTTGTCAGAACAAATCATGACAAACACAAACATATCAAATTTAGTTGAAAATTAACACTTAAATTGTAATAATATGTCATAATGTTGTTGCTTTTACTGTTATTTTAAATCAAATTAATGCAGTTTTCTTTAAAAAAATTGACCAACCTGAACTATTGGAGCTCATTAACCCTTTAAAATTAAATAATTGTGGTTTATTTAATGTAGTAAATGTTACTTTTACTCTACATCATTAAACTGTGATAAGAGAAAGTAATTAATCAACTAAATAAATAAATCAGTGGCTCATTAGTTTGATATATATATATATATATATATATATATATATATATATATATACATACAGTGGGGGAAATAATTATTGGACACGTCACCATTTTCCTCAGAAAACATATTTCTAAAGGTGCTGTTGACTTGAAATCTTCCCCACATGTTTATAACAAGCAAAGAAAGCAAATCTAATTAGTTTACATATGACGTTCTGTGTATAAAAATGAAATGACGCAGGGAAAAAAGTATTGAAGAGATGAAGAAAGGAAGGTGCAGGAAGGCAGTGAAAGCCCAGACAGCAGCTGAAATCTCTCAGTAGTTCTTCAGCAACCCTCTGCCAGGGTGGACATTTCAGAAAGATATTGATCCAAGAAAACTCAGATGCTTTCAGAGAAAGAAATTCAAGCTGTAGAAAGGCCCGGCCAATCCCCTGATCCGAACACGATAGAGAATACAGAATAAAGCTCAGATTTGATAGACGAGACTCACAGAAGCATCAAGATTTAGACTCTCTGTTGAAGTCTGTGGGAAACTCACACCTGAGCAATGCATGAGGCTTCATTCTCCATATGAGAGGCGTCTTTAAGCTGCTTAATACTTATTTCCCCCACTGTATATACATATAGCATATTTATTTCTTTAGTTTTTGGAGTGAAATATGACTAATGTTTCTTAATTACTCATAATACTGATTGTACCACAGAAAAATTGGCACATTTGTCCAAAAATCTGGATATTTTATATTGTTTTGCTTGACCTAACTAAGAATTAGCCTGACGGCAACTGTACAATGTGTCTATATATACATAAATGTGTATATAGGAAAGTTTGTCTTCGCTTTGGTGTAAATGTTTGATTGCGTCCCTCTTTTTATTTGTGTGTGATTTTGCTATGGAGGTTTACATTCCAGTCGGTGTACGGTCTCTAATCGCTGTACGCTTCTTTATCTGAATCATGCTAAATATTGCACTGCTATTTTCCCAACAGCCCGAGCTTAATGTTTAACTGGATATTTCAGCCCAAAAATCGAGCTTTTGCTGAAAGTTTGCCCTCAAACATTACATTACTTTCTCATCAATAAAGCAGACGAAATATGTAAACGTGTGAAATAAAGTCAGGATTTTCAGATAGAAACTCTTCTTGTAAGTTTTTTTTTTTAATTCCAAGTTTACATCTCTCAATTTTGAATTTAAGTATTATAATTATGCGTTTAAATCTGGATAATGCAAGTCTATTTCTCAATTCTGATGTTAAATATCCTAGTTATGAGTTTAAATTTGGATATTCCAAGAGTATATCTCTTTATTTTTTTCATTTAAATGTCACAATTCCAACATTATATCTCTCTATTCTGAATTTACATTTCACAAAACAGCTTAATGCTTTCATTTCTACTCTCAAAAGACATTGTGTAATGTAGGAAGGGCTTAAAATGCTGTGTTTTATCAGTAAAAGCAGCAGTTTAGTGTGTAAAACACTGGACGAGTGTTAATTTAGGCTATACTTGCACACTTGTACTGTGGTTGTGATGGAAATGGAGCATTTTCATCAATAAATGAAGAGTGCTCGTTATGCCAAAATGATCCAATTAATAGATTAACTGTAATCTGCAAAGACAGTTGCTGTATCCGAAATCGCTCCATATACCATGCGTTATTTGCGGAAGCAGCCATTTCTAGTGGTGTCCAAACCATAGTAAGCGTTCTTATGTGCACTTAATCAATCCCACAGTGCACTCTGATAACAAGTAAACAACCAACATACACCTAACAGCTGGAAAACACCTAAAATACACTGTGAGGGCTTTCGCGCCAAATGAATTCCCGCGTCTGACCACAAGATGGCGGCCGTATAGCGCAATCCTGTCAGGGAACGATTGAAAATGAAATATCACTTAATTAAAGTGATGTCTGTATACATGAGAGAACTCAAAAGTCTTTGTTTCATAGTAGACAGCTCGCTGAGTGTTATAAATCTATCACATGATCTTTATAAATCGTCTGAGGGATTTATTAAGCAGCAAAACACAAACAAAAGGCATTCAGTGCACTCAGTAGTGCTCCAAATCACTAACTCGTTTCATTCACTATTTAAATATTAGTGAATGAGGGTGTGAAGGTGATTTCGGATACAGCAGTGTTTTGTGTTGAATGAGTGAAGTGTTATTTCTGCTTTATCATTACTGGGATTAACTGCTTCGATGAATGTCGCCATTTTATGACGGTAAAAGTGACTGTTTTGATGATCTCATCATGTCTTACATGTATTTTAGAATAATGGAATGTCATAAAAGTGTCCTGTTGTCAAATGTATCGATTAATCCAAACTATTTTATTAAAGTGATTTGCTTAATGCAAACATGTCTGTGGTGTGATTCATACTGACGAGCTCATATGAAATTAATCTCATTTAACTGTTGTTCTGAAGGTTGTGTTGTGAATAAGTAACTTTTTCACAGCAAAATAATTCAACATTTCCCAGCTTAGAGATGATGGAGGGATGGAGTTATGGTTGGTTGGATGGCTGGAGAGATTAATAGATGTGTAGAATGATGGATTCATGAATGGATGAATGGATAACGAGATGGATAAATTAATGGAGAGATGGATGGATAGAGATGAACTGATGGATAGAGAGATGGATGTATAGATGGATTAAGATTGATGAATAAATGTATAGAGAGATGGATGATGGATTGTGAATAGAGAGACTGATAGATGGATGAATAAACAGCTGAATGGATGATATATAAGGTATAGATATAATATAAGGCTTATGTACATCCATCCATCAATCTAAATCCATTCATCTCTATATCCATCCATCCCTCTATCCATCCACTAATATACATCGATCCATTTCTCTATATCCATCATCAATCCCTCTATCCATCCATTCATCTATCCATCAATCTCTCTATCCACAATCCATCCATCTCTCTAAATACATTCATTCATCATTCATCCCTCTATCCATCCATCCATCTCTCTATCCATTTATGATCAATACCTCTATCCATCTATTCGTCTCTCTATCCATCCACCCATCAGTCTATTTACAATCCTTCGTCCGTTCATCTCTATCCATCCATCCAACTGTCTATCCACCAATCCATTATTCATCTATCTCTCTATCCATCTATCATCCATACCTCTATCCATCCACCTCTCTATTCATCCATCCATCTATCCATCAATCTCTCCACAGTCCACCATCCACCTCTCTGTACATCCATCTCTATCCACCAATCCATCGTCCATTCATCTCTCTATCCACAATCCATCATCCGTCTCTATCCATCCATCAATCTCAATCCATCCATCCATCTCTCTATTCATCCATCCATCTGTCTATCAATCTCTCCACAATCCACTATCCACCTCTCTATACATCCATCTCTATCCACCAATCCATCATCCACCCATCTCTTTATCCATCCATTCATCTCTCTATCCACAATCCATCATCCATCTCTATCCATCCATCAATCTCAATCAATTCATCCATCTCTCTATACATCCAGTCATCACTCACCCCTCACTCCATTCATGATCCATACCTCTATCCATCCATCTGTCTCTATTTACAATCCTTCATCCATCCACCTCTCTATCCATCCATCCATCCATCTATCCATCAATCCATTATCCATCCATCTATCCACCAATTCATTATCCATCCACCTCTCTATCCATCCATCCATCCATCCATCTATCCACCAATCCATTATCCATCCACCTCTCTATCCATCCATCCATCCATCCATCCATCCATCTATCCATCAATCCATTATCCATCCACCTCTCTATCCATCCATCCATCCATCCATCCATCTATCCACCAATCCATTATACATCCACCTCTCTATCATCCATCCATCCATCCATCCAACCATCAGTCTCTCTATTTAAAAATCATTCATCCATCTCGCTATCATCCATCTATCTGTCCACCAATCCATCATCCATCCATCTCTCTATCAATCCATAATTCATTGATCTCTCTATCATTTATTTCTCGATCCCTCTATCCACCAATCCATCATCCATCCCTCTATCCATCAAGCCATCAATCTAAATCTATTCATCCCTCTATATCCATCACTCTCTCCATCCATTCAACCATCCACCCTTCTGTCTGTCCACCTTATATACGCCTTATATCCACCCGTATATATCTGTCCATCCATCATCCTTACCTCTATCCATCTATTCATCTCTCTATCCATCAATCTATTTACAATCCATCATCTATCCATCTCATGTACATCCATCCATCTCTCTATCCATCAGTTCATCTTTATCCATCCATCTCTTCATTAATTTATCCATCCATCCATCTCTCTATACATCTATCTATCAACCTGTCCATCCATCCAACTATTACCTCTATCCCTCCATCCATCTCTCTTTCCGTCGATGCATCCAAACATCCACCCCTCTATCTATCCACGTAGAAAGACAGATTGATGTATAGAGAGATGGACTGACAGAGGGATGGATAGAGATATAGAGAGATGGACTAATTATGCTAATAGATAATCATATATTCATAGTTAATATTTCATGTTCATTTGACAGATTCTTCACCAATATCAGTCTATAATGTTAATGTGGACTCCTCACCCACTGAATGAGCGCAGACCTCCCGTGTGTGTGTGTGTGTGTGTGCTGCGCGGGTGTTACTCTCGGTCATTGACACACTTGTGTTGTTATCTGTATATGTGTGTGTGTATGAGTTCATCATATATGAAACGCCTCCATCACTGTTGCCCTCTATAAACACAGGCAGCTAACGGGCTAACAACTCAATCCATCCGAGTTTACATCCGTTATCTTCACGTTCCAGTGTTTATCATCAGTTGTGCGTCTTTAAATGTGTGTCATGTAGCTGAAACGTGTGTGTTTCATTAATATACACCCATCAGGTGTTCTGGTTTACTCAATGTAAACCTCTCTGCTTTATTAATCTGATTCTAGCAGAGAAATACATGATGTAACCGCGGAGCCACACGCGTGACGTCACATCACCCCACTCGCTTTCTGCCTCCCCATTGGCTGGTTTCTCTGGTTCTACAGGCGGAGTCATCGCTAGGGCTCAACCTAGCGTGATCGTCCAGATCCCACCCACTGCTCGATTGTGATTGGCTGACGGAGACAAGCCCTCTGAAGTCCCGACCACGCCGTTGCCCGCTGAGATTTTGTAAACAAAAGTACATTTATTTTGTATTTATTATTTTTATTACACGTTACACCACAAAACAAGGAACAAGCATCAGTGAAAGGCATATTCATTTATTAAAATCATAAAAAAGATAAACATGGAAAGAATACGAGTATATTATATATAATATATATTTTTTATTAACACACAGTAAGTCTCAGAGTACTAGAATAATAACGAACGCGTTTAGATTGATGACAAAATAAAACAACACGTATTAACAACAATACTAACACAAAAGCCATTCTATATCGCGTTAAAAACAAATTAACGTATCATATGAGTAACTCCATTAGCAGTTAGCTTTTAAGCGTTATATGTGTATATTATTTTCTGTCAAGCACTATATTTCAACGCTGCATATCAACGGCAGGTTTTCATTATTATTAAGCTCAAAGTTAGTGTAATTACATTATATGTATACAATAACAAGGGCGACGTTTGAAGAAGGTTGCTGGTTCAAGCCTCAGCTGGGTTAGTTGGCGGTTCATTCCACTGTGGCGACCCCAGATTATAAAGGGACTAAGCCGAAACGAAAATGAATGAATGAATACAATAGCAAATAGGCATAATAATCATCTTTTCTAATGAAAAGTCACACAAATAAAACAAAGAAAGAACTAAACAGACCGGGTAATTAAATACGCATTGAAAAAGCAAAACTTACAAGTGATTATCTTTTAATATTTTATAGATTTACCAGTCAACAATATAAGATTGTAACAACTGTAAACATAATAAAAACTACAGAAATTGTGTTACATTATGCAGATTATACACTTTAAAGTAATATGGTAAACAAAAATAATAATTAAACAAATAAAATAAAACTATTTTACATTGTAAGCAACTTTTCGACTTTTTGTTGTTGATTTTTATGCCCATCAATAATAAAACATCGGAGTTATTTAGAAAGATAGCCAGTGTTGGAGAATGCCGCTTGACAGCGCGCCCGCCATGTTATGAAGCGTCAAGTTAAAACACGAGCTCTGATTGGTCGTCGGGCGCGTCAATCAAACATTCGCCTGGCTCTCGGCGTTAGCATGCTAATGTGCCAAGCAAAACTCCTAAGTCAACTTTGCCTTGAGCAGCAGTATGGACGCGAACGCGAGCTGACTAAAAGTTGAACTAACCGACAGCCAAGTGAAATCGTCGCACGACAGCATGCTTTCTCGGACGGAAAGCGCGGGAAGCTGCTAGTTTTCATGGAATAACGCCTGTTGTTGTTGTTGTTGTTGTCGTCTCGAGTACTTTTTGAAAGAGCATCCGAGGACAATGAATCTGTCTTTTGACGACACTTCTCTGGACACTCTGGACTCCAGTTTGTCTCTCCATGACCCCAGTGATATCGACACTGCCCTTCTCAATGACATCGACGGTAAAGCAGCGTTTATTCACACTCGCGTTTCTGATCTCCAGCTGGAGAACGCGCATATCTGTGCTAATAGTGCTGTCAGGTGTATATGTGTGTGTTTATAATGATAACCGCACTCATGTTTATTATCTATACTCGCAAATAAGGCCACTGTGTGGTTATATATAGGATCATTCACATATAAGAGGAGTATTTCGCTTGTGAAATGAAAGCAGATGAGATCAGTGGAGTGATGCTGGATAAATGCACATTAACATGGGAAGCATATATGAGATGTGCAGGTGTATGATTGACACGTTAATAGTGTGAACGCGTTTATTAAAGCTGTTATTAGACTGTAGACAGCCTTCATTGTCTGGCAGCAGGAGTTGCATTGGGAGCAGCCCCGCCCCCCTTTGGAGTGACGTCACGCTAGGTTATTATCGGACATTCCCTGCTTGCTTAAGGGGGAATAAATAAACGCTTGCTTTAGGCTGTTCTGCTTTAATGTACGTATTAACAACACTATTATTATCTATATTAGTTAAACATGACCAGTCTTGTAAATCAAACCTAAATGCGTTGTATTTAATAAAAAAAACACATTTCAACGCGGAGTTATCATGCTTAGTGTTACTAGTGGAGCTGCAGTTGTGTGTTTGTGTACAGGTGTGTACCTATAGCATTATTTGGTAAATGTGCAGCAGGTGACCGACAGTAACCCCGATCTAAAGCGGACGATGTCCTATAGTAACCCCCGTCACGCATTTCCTGGCCTCTGATTGGCTGAGCGCGATCACCTCATACAAACACACAGGCCATGCGTGTGCACAGTGAAGGAGTCTTGTGTTATAGGGGGTCACGTGGATGGAAATCATATTTTTGAGCAGTTAATGGTGTTATTTATTAATTTTTGCACATACATCAGCACCTGTATTAGCAGTATATTATGAATAATAAAGAATTAACAATACTGCATTGTGTAGACGCACTCATGATAATTATAATGATAGTAATAATGATTATGATTATTGTTATATTTAAATTAATTGTAAGATGTCTCCATAAATTATAATATAAAATGTTCTGTGATAATTTGTAATATGCAGGTTATGGTGTAATGTGTGTAATAATAATAATAATAACAAATAATCATCTTTATTATTTTTCTTATTATTATTATATTAAAAATGGTAAAATTAGTGCATGAATCTTAATATATTATGTAGTGCAATTATTTGTAATATGTATGTAAATAGTATAATGTGTAATACGTGCATAACATGCATAATTAATCAGTTAAATGTGTTACTTTAATTTTTTTGGACCTATATTAGCAGTATATTAAGAATAATAAAGAATTCACAATATAGAGCAGGGTGTAGACACACTCATGATGATTATAAAGATAATAAATATCATAATAACATTAATAATAATAATTACTTTATATAATTAAATTGTAAAATGTGTGCTTGAACTATAACATAATATGTATTGGAATTGTAATATGCAGGTTATGTGTGCAATATTTGTAATAATAATAATAAGAATTAATTCATCATTATTAATATTATTATGCCTAAAAATGGTAAAATTAGTGCATGAATTATAATATAATATGTAGTGTAATTATTTGTAATATGTATGTAAATGGTATAAGATGTAAAACATGCATAACGTGCATAATTAATCATAATGAAAACAAAAATTCAATATTATCATCATCATTATTGTTATTTTCTTCATCTTATTATTATTATTAATATTATATAAATTATAAGATGTGTGCATGAACTATAATATAATGTAATATGTACTGTAATCATTTGTATGCAGGTAGTGCAAAAATATGGAATATGTGTATTAATAATGATAATAATAATTCATCATCATTATAATAATTTTTTTTATTATTCTTATTATTATACCTAAATCAAAATTGATTAAAAATGAGCACAAGACTTATAATATATGTAATTTGATCATTTGTAATGCATGTAAAGGGTGTAATATGCATTATGTGCATGATATTAATGATAATGATAATCATAATTAATTCATTAAAACCATCATTGTTTTTCTTCATCTTCTTTTTCCTCGTCTTCTTATTATACTTAAATCGGTTGTAAGATGTGCGCATGAACTATAATGTAATATGTAGTGTTATCATTTGTAATATGCAGGTAATGGTGTAATATGTGAATTAATAATGATAATAATAATTAACTAATCATTATTATCTTTATTTTTCTTCTTCTTCTTATGCCTAAATCAATTGTAAAGTTAGTGCATGATTTACAATATAATATGTAGTGTGATTATTTGTCATGTGCATGTAACTGGCATAATTAGTAATACATGCATAATATTAATAATAATGATAATCATATATAATTCATCATCATCATCGTTATTATTCATATTATTATTATTATTTTATATATTTATAATGATATAATCAATTGTAAGATGTGCATGATCTATAATATATGTAGTGTAATCATTTGTTATATGCATGTTAATTGTGTGATATGCAATATGTGCAAATTAATAATAATGACAGTCATAATAAATTCATCATCGTTATTGTTGTTCTTATTATTATGCATAAATCAATTGTTAAAAAAATGCATGAACTATAATATATGCAGTGTAATTATTTGTATATGTAATATGTGCATGACATAAATAATGATGACAAAAATTAATTCATCATCATCATCATTATTATTATTTTTCTTCATATTATTATTATTATTATATAATCAATTGTAAGATGTGTCTATGAACTATAACATAATATGTAGTGTGATCATTTGTAATAAGCAGGTAGTGGTATAATACGCAATATGTGTAATAATGATAATAATAATAATAATAATTAATCCATCATTATTGTTATTGTTCTTATTATTATGTCTAAATCAATTGTAAAATTAGTGCATGAATTATAACATAGTATGTAGTGTGATCATTTGTTGTGCATGCAAATGGTATAATTAGTAATGCCTGCATATTAATAATAACAATAATTAATTATCATCATCGTCATTATTTTCTTCTTCTTAATTTTATTTTTATATAATCAGTTGTAAGATGTGTGCATGAGCTGTATATATTAATATGTAGTGTAATGATTAGTAAAAGGCTGGTAGTAATGTAATATGCAATATGTGTAATAATAATAATAATTCATTCATCATCATCGTTATTATTATTTTGTTATTTAATACACTGTGATATAGCCTGGTTTGTTAGTTTGTTGGATCGCTTTGCTTTCTCACTACAATCTATCCACTCCAGAGTTCACTTCAATCGAGCCGAGACCACCTCACTCAGGCGGTCCTTATTATCGAGCCCTGATTTCCTCTAATGTCTGTTCTTCTGGAGAAAGTCTGATGTGTTTTATTTGGGCTAGAATAACAGCAGTGTTTAATAGTGTTAAAGTCATGTTAAGCTCAATATTATTCTCCCCTTCAGCAATATTAGTGTTGGATTGTCTCCAGAACAAACCACTGTTATACAATGACTTGCCTAATTACCCTAACTTTACCCTAATTAAGCCATGAAAACACACACACTGTTGATGTTCATGAATGGATTATGCGCCGGTTGCCACAGTTAGTTCTGTCATTGTGTGTTTCTCTGTATCCGGCTGTAGTTTATTGCGTGTCTGCTTGTGTTTAGATCATGTGATCGTGTTATCTGTGATGCCTCGTCTTTATTACTGGCCTTTATCATGATCCTCCTGAGCTTCATCTGATCAACCTTATGCATTAATTAGCAATCAGACTCATGATCTCAGTTTGAGCTACACTGGGTCATTTCTGGGTCAGATCTTCCCAATTCCAGGCTTAATGATGCGTTACTAATTATAACAATATGAATAACAGATCTGATTGTCAGTTTATGCGCTGATAAGCAAACGGTTTATTTTGTAGATCCCAAACTTTTCAGCCCGCGACCCCCAAAATAACAATGCCAGTGACTCACGACCCCCAATATCCTCTGAGGTGGTTATAAATACAGAAACCTTGCATGCAATTAAATTTGTGTCAGTGCTTTAAATGTGCTAGAAAGTATAACCTGATGTTATAAAATCAAAATGCATCTGACGCTATTGCTGCCTTTAATATAATGTAATTACCCCAGGGGTCGCAGTTCAATAGAACTAGTAGCTATAAGCTACTATAGTAACTATATAGTAACTATAAACGACTATTTTTATTGTTAGTACAGTTATGGATAAAATATGGTAATTCTTATGGTTTAATAAAAATAAATAGATTTTTGGAAATCACCAGGCGACCCACCTTCATTGCCCTGCGACCCCTCAGGGGGTCCCAACCCCCACTTTGAGAACCACCGTTGTAGATAACTGACCAACAAAAATACATTAAAATGCCCAACAAGTTATAACAAACCTAAATTGTTCCAAAAAGATGTTTGTTTGTTTTTTTTTCAGATAATAATAGTTAATTTCAGAAATATATGAACTGTGCGGGTGGATGATTTGCTTCGCTGGAATATAAGTATTTAATTAATGCTTCACTGTAATTGTTGTATCTCAAACCTCTGTGGTATATTTGAATATGTTTACTATAAGTCTTAAGGCTGATTTATACTTCTGTGTCAAACACCGGCGTATGCTACGGCGCTGACGCATAGCCCTTCTCAAAAAATGTAACTACACGTCGCAACGACGCGTAGAGTAAGCTCTGTGATTGGTCGGCTTAGTAGCGCTGACGAGTCTGGGCGGGACCGAGAGCCGCGCGAATGGCACGAGCGATTGTTTACAAGTGTGGAGTCCCGTGAAGGAGCTCCGGATGGAAAGTTTTGTTTTGTGTTTACCTCATAGTTAAAGTTGTTGCATGTCCGCCATGTCCGCGAGTTTGAGCCACTTGTACATCCCGGAAGTGTTCAGGAAATGCAAAAAAGTAGCGAAGAAACTCGACACAAAGGGAACATTTACACCTCACTGCCAACTAGCGTTCCGGAAGTGTTAATGCAGACCGACAGAGACAGCAGCAGAAGTTTAAATGCACAGCCACGCGCGTTGCCTGCGCCGTGGGTTACGCCGGTCACCTGACGCAGAAGTATAAATCAGGCTTTAGTGTATGGGTGTAAATGAGTGTGTATGGATGTTTCCCAGACATGGGTTGCAGCAGGAAGGGCATGCGCTGCTTAAAACATATGCTGGATAAGTTGGCGGTTTATTACGCAGTTGCGACCCCTGATTAATAAAGGAACCTCTCAAAAAATGTAACTAAACGTTGCAACGGCGCGTAGCGCAAGCTCTGTGATTGGTCGGCTTGGTAGCGCTGACGAGTCTGGGCGGGACCGAGAGCCGCGCGAATGGCACGAGTGATTGTTTACAAGTGTGGAGTCCCGTGAAGGAGCTCTGGATGGGAAGTTTTGTTTTGTGTTTACCTCATGGTAAAAGTTGTTGCACGTCTGCCGGTTCCTGCCTCAAAATGAGCGAGTTTGAGCCACTTGTACATCCTGGAAGTGTTCAGGAAAACAAAACAGCAGCGAAGCAACTCGACACAGAGGAACATTTACACCTCACTGCCCACTAGCGTTCCGGAAGTGTTAATGCAGACCAACAGAGACAGCAGCAGTAGTTTAAATGCACAGCTGCGCGCGTTGCATGCGCCGTGGGTTACGCCGGTCACTTGACGCAGAAGTATAAATCACGCTTTAGTCTGTTCGTTCTTTTATATTTTTGTTTCTTGCTTCATTAGGTCCTTTGTTCTGTCCTTCCTTTATTCATTTGTTCATTCCTTTGGTCCTTCCTTCCTTCATTTGCTCGCTCATTCGTTCTTTCGTTCATCATTTTTGTTCCTTCCCTCATTAGGTCCATTCATTTGTTCGCTCCTATCTTCCTTCCTTCTTTTCCTTCCTTAGTTTGTTCAGTCCTTCCTTGAATCCTTCCTTCATTCATTTGGTCCTTCCTTTCTTCATTAGTTCAGTTCTTGCATTTTTTATTCCTCTCATTTAGCAGTTGTTTAAGGCTGTTTGGTGATTTTAATCATCATACAGTCGACTTCCTTTTTTAAAATTAAATTTTTACATTTTATTTATGTATTTTTTTTTTACAGGCGACATCTATTTTTCCTTCAGTGACATCCAGTCTATCAAAAGTGTGTGTGTAAATATTTTGAACATCTTCTTGGACATGTTAAATGATTCTGCAAGGTTTGCTGCATTTATAAAGCGCCCGTGTCTTGATGTTGTTCAGTATCTTGTGATTTACTTTCTATGTGTGATTTGATTAGGCAGGAATAACTGGACTGATTTCTCAACTTTAGTTAATCCCCATAGACAAGAAAGTAATGCAGTAGTGACTGCCGGAGGAAGGAAAGTAGTGCAGATACTGCTCTAAAAATGTACTCAAGGGAAAGTTAAAGTACACATTTTTAAAACTACTCGGTAAATTACAATTCCTGAGAAAAGCTACTCGGTTGCAGTCATACGAGTATTTGTAATGAGTTATTTACACCACTGTCACCAGAACTATAGAAACTGTATTATGCTTATCATGCTTAAAAAAAGCGGCACAGTATTGGATCAGATCTGCATCGGTCGATACTAATTTGGGTTTCGAGATCGGATCGGTTCCAAAAAAAAGGCATCAGTGCATCCAAACTTTATTGGATGAAACCGTGCTGTTTTTATTTAATATTGTCATACGGTCAGGTTCTGAGAGGAACCCATAGCTGACCGTCTCCCTGTCCGTCTGTCTGCCTGTGTGTTTGTTCAGATATGCTGCAGCTGATCAACACTCAGGACATGGAGTTTGGGCTGTTCGATCAGACCACGTTCCCGGCTCCGGCGGCTCCAGCACAGGAGCAGCTTCACTCCAGCCCCGCATCTCCTGCTGCTGCTCCTCCGCCCGCCGCCCCCTCCATCCTCAGCTCCAGCCCACATCTGGATGCCCTGCTGGGACCCCCCATCACCCGCAGCTCCTCCATCCCCACAGATAAAGCCTTCCAGCCGCACACCTTCCAGCAGGCTCCCCTCGCACAGGTCAGCTTATTTAGTGATTATTTATGAATTATAGAGGATGTATTTATTGATTATTACTTATTCATTGATAATTGATTATTTATCATTTGATTATTGATTATTTATTAATTGTTGATTACTTATTCATTGATTCCCTATTGATTATTTGTATTGTAGTGATTTTTGATGTATTAATGATCTATTTATTGATCATTTATTTAACAGTTATTAATGTTTTATTGATTATTGGATATTAATTATTGTTTATTTATTGATTATTTATTATTTGTTCATTATTTATTGAAATGTTAAATGTTTATTTAATATTTATTTATTATTTAATTATTAATGATTTATTGATTGATTATTGGTTATTAGTTGATCATTAATTTTTGATTATGTAATGATTATTTATTTAATAATTATACATGATTTATTTATTGATTTCGTTGATTATTGATTGCTTTATTTATCATTGATTATTTATTTGTTAATTATTGATTGTTTATTGATTATTTTTTAATGATTATTGGTTATTAGTTGATTATTTATTATGTATTGATTATTTATTTATTTATTGATCATTTATTTATTAATAATAATGATTTATTTATTGATTATTGGTTATTTATTAATTATTAGTTCTTTATTTATTGATTACTATTTATTATTTTTGTTCATTATTTATTGATTATTGATATATTATATGTTTATTAATTATTGATGATTTATTTATTGATTGTTGCTTATTAGTTAATTATTAATTATTGATTATTTAATAGTTATAGATTATTTATACATTAGTTATTCATTAATTATTGATTATTCATTTGTTATTGATAATTTATTATTTATTTGTTAATTATTGATTATTTATATTTTATTTATTGATGATTTATTTATTGATTATTGGTTTATTGTTGATTATTTATTGACATATTGATTGTTTATTTATTGTTTATTTATTAATTATTAATTATTTATGGTCTACTGATTATTGATTTATTGATTATTGATTGATTAATGATATTACAGGTGAACTCCACACCTGCAGCACTGCAGACCACCCAGCCCAAAGCTCAGCCTGCTCCGTCTGCCAGCCTACAGCCCTCCAGCCAGACGCCTCCATCAGCCTCCAGCAGCCCCCAGCAGACTCTCTACAGCTCCTACACCACACACACCACCTACACCCGTGAGTTTCACATGCATCTGCCTTACCAAATATTTATTTATTGAGTTTTTGCATTTACATTCCTAATCATAAGTGTTAATAACTCATTTCTAATAACTGATATGTGTGACAGCACATAATATTAGACTGGATCTTCTTCAAGACACTAGTGTTCAGCTTACAGTGACATGTAAAGGCTTCACTAGGGTAATTAGGGTAAAGTTAGGGTAATTAGGCAAGTCATTGTATAACAGTGGTTTGTTCTGGAGACAATCCAACACTAATATTGCTGAAGGGGCCAATAATATTGACCTTAAAATGACTTTAACACTATTAAAAACAGCTTTTATTCTAGCCCAAATAAAACTAATAAGGCTTTCTCCAGAAGAACAAACATTAGAGGAAACACTGAGAGAATGCCATGATAATCTGCATTATGTCAATCACAGTAAATCTCCTGTTTGTGTTGGCGATGTGTCTGAGCTACCAGACGTAACACTCCTCTTATCTCACCATAAACACGACAGGTACATCTATTGAGGCTTAATCTCAAAACTGATAAGATAATTAGTGCATTTAACTGCAGTATAACTGAAACAGCTGATACAGAGTGTGGGAAAAGTTTCTATTTGCACACAATTTAAAAACAATTAAACCGATGTGAGTTTTAGATTGATGACTACACTTATACACTTATATATATATATTTATATATATATTTATATATATATATATATATATATATATATATATATATATATATATATATATATATATATATATATGTGTGTGTGTGTGTGTGTGTGTTGGTGTTTGTATGTATGTATATGTATAAATATATATATATTATATATTTATATATATATATATATTATATATATATATTATATATATATAACAGTTCTGTCTGGTTCTCAAATCTGATTGGCTGATAGCCATGATATATTTAAGTGATATCAGCACCCGTACAGCCTCTTTACCCTTTGTGTATTACTCCGCCCTTTACCAGGTCATAGTCGCAGTTCTTTACCCTTTGTGTATTACTCAGCCTGCGTCCTCGTGCCAACGCACGCCTCCCACCAGTGCCGATATACAGCCATATCGCACTGCTACGAGTGTGATATTGCTCGATTATACACTACCGATCAAAAGTTTAGGGTTGTTTTTTTATCTGTCTATTAAGGTGGCATTTATTTAATGTAAAAAAATATAGTTAAATTGTTAAATATTCATTAAATATTTATTTATTATTTACTGTGTGTAATGTATATATATTAAAGACTGTTTATTGTATGTTTAATTCTTCCGATATTTACTCAGTAATTACTTAAATGTACTTTTGCTGCTTGTTCAGACTACTATGTACAATGAACAATTCTAGAGTTTTGTTTGGCTTAATTGTTTTATATTTAATCAACTTAAATTTGTAAAAACAATAAAGTTAACTGAATCGATTTGTTGACAGCATAGATATATATAGTGTATATTAGAGCTGCACAATTAATCAAAAAGGTCGCGATCTCGATTCGACCCCCTACAAGATCTTAATCCAGCATTTCTACCATTCTGTCAGTCATATTTTCAAGTTCGGTAACGAAGAAAAGGCGGCAGCACGAGTCTACACATTGTTTAAATACGTTGCTCAGTGACATGCACACTTACAAAGGCTGTTGAAAGAGTCGCACACTGTATTTATAAGATGTAATTCACCTAAAAATGTCATTTCTGTCTTCATGTAATGATGTATTTGCGGCCGCGTAATTACACATGAGCTGACCGTCAGCTGTTACCACAGGGAGAGCGGGCGTGCGCCCTACTTAATGATAGGTGGCCGCATGTGCGTCTACTTTAGCGAACAGAACCTGCATAGGCTGTGAATAACAGGTAATAAAGTTGTAAATAACATTCAGTTTGTGGCACAGAGCGATCGTTTGAGAGAATGAACAGCACTTAGCAGTGAAAATGAAACCGAAAGCAGAGTAATTTTAGAGTAATTATTTTGACAAGCATGTGTGTATGTGTATGTGTGTATATATATGTATATACGTATATATATGTGTATGCTATATACATAAAAATTCACAGTAATAAGTCTCGTCACAATAATCAGTAAAATCATGAAATAAATCATTAAACAAATGAATAAAATCTGTCGCGCCTTCTTTCTAGGTACAGAATCTGATTTACTTCCTACAAATTATTGTTGAACGCATTGGTAGAGCTGCGACTATGACCTGGTTTTGGACAGTTCGTAAGCACACTAACAATATTACAGCACCTCAATGTGAAGGTTTTGGTGTTGGCTTAGAATTATTGCTGTTTTTTGCACTTTAAATGCTAGTGTGTTTACTGGTGTTGTTTACGGTGTGTTTTTTTATTATTAAAAGTTTTGGATTTTATATTTAATTGATTTAATTGAATTTAATTTAAGACACTTTAGTGTTAAATATCTAGCAGCATACTGTATGTGATTAAACTTGGTGTTTCTTTGGCTCTGTTAAAGCCAGCCACATCAAACCCGGAGCTCTTTTGTGAAAATAATACTAAATCCTATTTTAAAATCCACATTTTGATCAGAAACATACATTTTTCCCCCTTCAAATGATGCATCCCTGAATGAAGTTCTACTTAATGTGAGTTCATTTAATTGAATGTATAATTATGTTGTTATTTCACATCTGAGGCTCACCTTTCCTCCAGTTAAAGTCTGTTCAGATTATTCATTGTGCAGTAATTACACACACACACACACACACACACACACACACACGCACTGATGAGTAATGCTGGTGATGTATTCCACTGCTACGACTCCGTCACGCATCACCTTTGATCTGATCTTTTGAAGTGGCGGTGATCGATTATAAAAGGCTTTGATTGATTACAGTATATATGCTGTCAGTCCTGGAAGCCTACTGACCTTTCACCGTACACACTCTCATATGTGTGTGTATGTTTCTGTCTGCTTATCATGTAGGCTTAGATAATGTCTAGGAGAGGTCAAAGAGAGAAGACAGCATCACACAAGGAAAGAGCAGAGTTCACACAGTTCCTGTCAACTGTTCATCCTCACCTCAACACTGTAGAAGATTTAGTGCAAGTGTTGCCATGCGTATAGCCAATGCTGCTGATATGGCATTTAACATGAATGAATGAATGAATGAATGAATGAATGAATAAATTAGTGAATGAATGAATGAACATTATTTAATATTTAGTACAGATTTTGCCATGCATATAGCCAATGCTGCTGATATGGCATTAAATCATGAATAAATAAATAAACAAATGAATTGATGAGTGAATGAATGAACGAATAAATAAACAAGTATTATTGAATATTTAGCACCATAAATGTTGTCATGCATGTAGCCAATGCTGCTGATATGGGATTAAAACACGAATGAATGAATGAATGAATGAATGAATGAATGAATGAATGAACAAACATTATTGAATATTTAGTACAAGTGTTGCCATGCATATAGCCAATGCTGCTAATATGGCATTGCAACATGAATAAATAAATGAAAGAATGAATAAATAAACAAACAATATTGAATATTCAGTACAAATGTAGCTATGCAAATAGCCACTGCTACTGATATGGCATTAAAATATGAATGAATGAATGAATGAATGAATGAATGAATGAATGAATGAATGAATGAACTAACATTATTGAATATTTAGTACAGATTTTGCCATGCATATAGCCAACGCTGCTAATATGGCATTAAAACACGAATAAACAAATGAATGGATGAATGAATGAATAAATAAGCAAACAAACATTACTGAATATTTATAACAAATGTAGCTATGCAAAGAGTCACTGCTACTGTTATGGCATTAAAACATGAATAAATGAATGAATGAATAAATAAATAAATGAATGAGTGAATAAATAAACAAACGTTATTGAATATTTAGTACAAATATTGCAATGCATATAGCCAATGCAGCATTAAAACATAAATGATTGAATAAATATATAAATAAATAAATAGATAAATAAGTGAATGAATTAATAAATAAATATATAAATAGGTGAATGAATTAATAAATGAATGGATGATTAAACATGATTGAATATTAGGTACAAGTGTTGCCATGCATATAGCTAATTCTTAATTATTTATGCAACAAAAAATACTCAGTGATTTCATTTATCCATGTTTAATAATTCATTTTGAAGTTTCTTTTTCCTCTTCTCTGATTGGTTCTTGCAGCTGTCACTCAGCAGAGCTCGCCTCAGTCAATTCCGAGTGTCTCCGCCTCTCCACAGAATATTCAGCCAATGACGATCCAGAGTCTGTCGGCTTCACCAATCCTGACGGCATCCTCCAGCCCGCCCACACAGCCCCTCCCCCCGCAGGTGCAGCAGCTGCCTGTGAGTGATCTGATTGGTCTGTTCCTTAAACAAATCACTGACATGTCTGCTTTTGAAATATCTGTTAATATTCACCCCCTAGTGGCCGTCATAGGGAATTTATTAACAACATTATTTATTTTTTATTTAATTAAATATATCCTTAACTTGTTTGTCATTATATATTCAGATATAGTTAGTGTTTAGTGTTGAATTTATGATATTTATACATATTTATACATATGTATAATATACTGAATAACAATAATGGTCACACTTTACAATAAGGCTTCATTATGTATTCACTAATGTAGTAATAATGAGCAATATTTATACATGTTTTAATATATTTTCTGAGCATTGTGTGTGTTTGTAAAGCAGCTTTACGTGCCGGTGAGATCATATCATGTGTTTTTGCAGGTTTTGTTGCAGCCGCAGTTCATTAAGGCCGACTCTCTATTGCTCACAACTCTGAAACCGGACGTGACAATGGTAACGACAGTAGCATCGCCCTGCATTACAACACTCACGTCTACAGCGCCGGTCCAGAACACCCCACTGCAGGTTCCCCCGCACACACATTCACACTAAGAATAACAGGAGGGCAAAAAACATTGACTGCCATGTAGAATGCGAATTTAAATAAAGAAATGTATTGTTATTTTTACACTTTGCATTGCGGTTTTACATATTACACTTTAAATTGCATGTGTATTATGTAAAAACCGCAATGTAAAGGGTAAAAATAGCAGGTCCATCTCAGTTTATTTGGTAAGTGTGACCTGCTGATTCCAATATTTACTGATTCCAATTTTTTTCTAAAAGAAGAGAAAAAAGAGGAATCTGAATCGTCAAATATCGGTATCGGCAGGTCACACTTACCAAAAACACTGAAATCAGAATCAGTAAATATCGGTATCGGCAGGTCACACCAAAAAAAAAGGAATCAGTAAATATCAGTAATGGCAGGTCTTGCTTACCAAAAAAACTGAAATCGAAATTGTCAAATATCGGTATCGGCAGGTCACACACACACACAAAAATGAAATCGAAGCTGTCAAATATCGGTGTTGGCAGGTCACACACAAAAAAAAAATTAAATCAGAATCAGTAAATATCGGTATATGCGGGTCAAACTTAACAAAAAAACTGAAATCGAAATTGTCAAATATCAGTATCGGCAGGTCACACACACACACACACACACACACACACACACACACACACAAAAATGAAATCGAAATCAGTAAATATCGGTATACGCAGGTCAAAATTAACAAAAAAACTGAAATCGGAATCGTAAAATATCGGTATCAGCAGGTCACACTTAACAGAAATCAGAATCTGTAAATATCGATATTGGCAGGTCACAATTACCAGAAAAGCAGAAATTGGTAATTTGACCTGTTGATGCTGGATTCGATTTACTGATTACGGTTTCAATTTATTTTGGTTAATGTGACCTGCTGATACCGATATTTGACGATTTCGATTTCAGTGTTTTTGTTAAGTGTGACCTGCTGATACCGATATTTGAAAATTTCACTTTCAGTTTTTTCCGGTTAGCCAGATCTGCCATTACTGATATTTACTAATTCTAATTTCCATTTTTTTGGTAATGGTGACCTGCCAATACTGATATTTGACTATTTCGATTTCAGTTTTTTCTGTTAAGTTTGACCAGCAAATACCGTGATTTACCTTTTTTTTTTTTGGTGTGACCTGCCGATACCGACATTTGACGATTCCGATTCCATTTTTTTTTTTTTAAATTTATTTATTTATTTTTTTTGGTGTGACCTGCCAATACTGATATTTGGCTATTCTGATTCCTGTTTCTTTTTGGTTTTGTTTTTTTGGTAAGTGTGACCTGCCAATACCGATATTTTCTAATTTCTACTTCCATTTTTTTTGTAAGAAAAAACAGGAATTGGAATCATCAAATATCGGTTTCGGCAGGTCACGCTTACCAAAAACACTGAAATATAAATCTGTAAATATTGATATCGGCAGGTCAAACTTACAAAAAAAAAATTAAATTGGAATCGTAAAATATCAGTATCGACAGAACACACTTAACAGAAATCAAAATCAGTAAATATCGTTATTGGCAGTTCAAAATTACCAGAAAAACAAAAATCGGTAATTTGACCTGCTGATGCTGATATTTACTGATTATTATTTCAGTTTATTCCAGTATTTGTCGACTCTGATTTCCTTTCTAAAAACTATAATTGACAGCGTATACAAACAAAAATTACTAATTTATTCTATTTTTATTTTCAATAATAATAATAAATATGAATTAAAATTGTAAAATTTTTTATTTAATGTGAAAATGATTTAAAGTAGTAAAAAAATGCATTATTGTTTTGGAGTTTCATTTCCGTTTGCAGTTTTCAACGTAAGCAATAGGCTAGGGAATGTAGAGATATTTGTTTTGTCATCTAAGGTTTTCTACCATTAAATTAATTTTGTCATTAAAAGGCTTTAGCATTGAAATCTAAATGCAGAACTGCCTTTCTTCTGTCCGTGTGTCGTGTTGTCAGGCGCTGATGAGCGGAGGCACCATCCTGACCACCGTTCCTCTGGTGGTGGACACAGAAAAGCTGCCCATCAACCGTATCGCCATCAGCGGGAAACCAGGCTGCCAACCGCACAAGGGCGAGAAACGCACCGCTCACAACGCCATCGAGAAACGCTACCGATCCTCCATCAACGACAAGATTATAGAGCTCAAAGACCTGGTGGCTGGAACTGAAGCTAAGGTCAGCGCTCATTATCAGTCTACACCGCTGTACATATCACAAAGACACGTCAACGGTTAATACATTGCTTTAAACCTGAATAAATAAGCTTTCCACTGATGTATTGGTTTGACCGAGAAACAGCTATTTAAACATCTACAATCTGAGGGTTCAAAAAAATCTAATTGTTGGAAATATAACATAAGAGAGGGCGGGGCATATAGTAGCTCCTCCTCTTTAAAAAAAAACCAGCCAATAGCATTTAATTTTTCTCACAGCTCTGCCAATGAGAGTGGTTGATCTCAATGATCAACTGAACAGCCAATAAGAAGAAAGGGGCGGGGCATGTCCAACACTACAGAGCATTTGATTGGTTGGGAGATTTGATGAAAAACTCATTGATGCATTTAGGCAGAAGAGACAGAGACTGTAAACTTTAGATCAGGCTTATATCTTCTACGTGTGGATTTGTTTTGGAGACTGTAGCTTATAGATGTCCTTAAGTTTGAGATACTGACATCTAAAACACTTCATTTGAATATCTCTGGAGCTTTAAAGTGTCTTTCTGAGATGAATCTTCTCTGATGTGCAGCTCAATAAGTCTGCGGTGTTGAAGAAAGCCATCGAGTACATCCGATACCTTCAGCAGTCCAACCAGAAGCTGAAGCAGGAGAACATGGCCCTCAAAATGAACATCCAGAAGAACAGTAAGATCACTTCCAGCTGCCGTAAAGCCAATGTCAAGTCTACATGAACCATTTTAGCAAATAAATAGACAGACTCTGGGATTGGTTAAAAACTCTGCATATTTCTGCATGCACAGACTCGGTGTGTGTCTGCTAATAACGCTGTTTTCCCTCCGCAGAGTCTCTGAAGGATCTGGTGACCATGGAGGTGGACGTGAAGCCAGAAATCCCCACTCCTCCAGCTTCAGACGTGGGCTCTCCCCAATCCAGCGGCCCCTACTCACAGCACAGCAGCGACTCAGAGCCCGATAGCCCCATGGCGGAGGACAACAAGGTAACACACACACACACACACACACACACACACTCATAACACACTCTCTATCACACACTCATAATCAAACACACTCATAACACTCATAATCACTCACACACACACACACACACAAACACTTGTAGCACACTCATAATTACACACACACGCACATACACACACATAATTCTCTTTCTATTACACACACATAATCACACACGCTCATAACACTCGTAATCACACACATTTATAACACACTCTTAATTACACACACACACACACACACACACACACTCATAACACACTCTCTATCACACACTCATAATCAAACACACACACACACACACACACACGCACACACACTTATAACACACTCATAATCACACACACACACACACACACACACACACACACACACACACACACACACACACACACACACACACACACACTCATAACACACTCTCTATCACACACTTATAACACACTCATAATCAAACACACACACACACACACTCATAACACACTCTCTATCACACACTCATAATCACACACACTTATAACACAATCATAATCAAACACACACACACACACACACTTATAACACACTCATAATCATACACACACACTAACACACACACACTCATTTTTACACACTCATAATCACACACACTCATTATCTCATACACTCATACTTACACACTCGTAACACACACCCAGAACACACACTCATAAACACATGCATATTATCAAACACTTCATATCACACACTCATGACACACACACACACATAACCTCAGGATCAGAATATTTGTTATGCTTTTAAGCCCGATGCAAGACGTGAAATGGTCAAGTGTTTGAGGACAGAGCCTGGAGGATTCTCCGTATGCTTTGTGTGTGTTAGGCAGTGGTGGAGAGGGCTGGAGGGATGCTGGACCGCTCCCGCATGGCTCTGTGCGCCTTCACTCTGCTGTTTCTGTCCTTTAACCCGCTGGCGTCGCTGCTGTGTGGAGGATGGAGCAGCGCTGGAGCCTCGGTGCCGGGAAACGCTGCAGGGAGGAGCGTGCTGTCCATAGAGGACTCAGGTCAATATATGTACACACTCGGCTCATTATAGACACACACACCTATCACTGGGAACACCACACACACACACACACACACACACTACGGCCAGTTGATCAGTTCCCCTATAGCTCATGTGTTTAGACTGTGGGGGAAACCCACGCCAACATGGAGAGAACATGCAAACTCCACACAGTAGCACCAACTGACCCGGTCAGGACTCAAACCAGCGACCTTCTTACTGTGAGGCCACAGTGCTGACCACTGAGCCACCGTGCCGCCCATTTAGTCTGATTATTTACTAGACAGCCGTGTGATGATCTGCGATATCGGCTGGCTGGATGTACTTTATCCCTAACTGAACGTGTGTGTGTGTGTGTGTGTGTGTGTGCAGGCGAGTCGTGGGGCTGGATGGACTGGATGTTGCCCACTCTTCTGGTGTGGCTGCTGAACGGTGTGCTGGTGGCTGGAGTTCTGATCCGGCTGCTGGTGTATGGAGAACCAGTGACCAGACCTCACTCCGAGTCCTCCGTCCTCTTCTGGAGACACCGCAAACAGGCAGATCTGGATCTGGCCAGGGTAAGAAACACTCATCTGGGGGCAAAAATGCATAAAATCACTTTGATTCGGGGTTTATACGCAGTTGTGTGTGTCAGCAGTGTGTGAATATCTCCAGCCTGTAATGATAAACATGAGTTAATTGTATTGTTTATAATCAGACTTGATGAAGGAAACACTTTGGTTGGCATTCTCCCTTTGGTACGTGTCATCAGAGACCTATTTTTCTCCTCCAGGGTGATTTTGCGCAGGCGTCTCAGAACCTGAGGACGTGTCTGAAGGCTTTGGGTCGTCCTCTGCCCACGTCTCAGCTGGATCTGGCCTGTGCGGTGCTGTGGTCGGCGCTGCGTCTGTGTCTGCAGAGACTGTGGGTCGGCCGCTGGTTAGCCTCACGAGCCGGAGCGCTGAGACCTAATCGCCCCCTGCAGGAGGACAACTGCAAGAGCTGCCGCGACGCTGCGCTGGTCTACCACCGCCTGCACCAGCTGCACATGACCGGTACACCACTGATTGACACCTTTATTACTTTCTGTTTTATATATTTATTTATTGAGTTTTTGCTGTTAGTTTATCCCTCCCCATACTGCCATATATATAAGATGCTTAATATATGCTTAATAGATGCTTAATAGAGGTAATATATGCTTATTAGCTGTCTAGTATATACTTATTATATGCTTAATAAATGTCTAATAGATACTTAATAATGTCTAATAAATGTCTATTAGAGGTCTAATATATAGTTTGTAGATGCTTAATAGATGTCTATTAGATGTTTATATATATATATATATATATATATATATATATGTCTAATAGATGCTTAATATAGATGTATTATATATAGATTTAATAGATGTCTAATAGAGGTCTTTTAAATGTCTAATAGATGCTTAGTAAATATAGATGCTTATTATATGGCTAATAGATGTCTAATAGATGCCTGATATATATTTAATAGATGCTTAATATTTGTATCTAATCTATGTCTTTTAGATATCTAATAGTTGCTTTATATATCGAATAGATGTCTAATAGATGCTTAATAGATGTCTAATAGATGCTTAATAGATGTCTAATAGATGCTTAATAGATGTCTATCAGATGCTTACTAGATGCTTAATATATGCTTAATAGATGCCTAATATATGCTTGTTAGATGTCTAATAGATGCTTAATATATGCTTGTTAGATGTCTAATAGATGCTTAATAGATGTCAAATATATGCTTGTTAGATGTCTAATATATGCTTGTTAGATGTCTAATAGATGCTTAATAGATGTCTAATATATGCTTGTTAGATGTCTAATAGATGCTTAATAGATGTCAAATATATGCTTGTTAGATGTCTAATATATGCTTGTTAGATGTCTAATATATGCTTGTTAGATGTCTAATATATGCTTGTTAGATGTCTAATAGATGCTTAATAGATGTCAAATATATGCTTGTTAGATGTCTAATATATGCTTGTTAGATGTCTAATAGATGCTTAATAGATGTCAAATATAAGCTTGTTAGATGTCTAATATATGCTTGTTAGATGTCTAATAGATGCTTAATAGATGTCAAATATATGCTTGTTAGATGTCTAATAGATGCTTAATAGATGTCTATCAGATGCTTAATAGATGCATAATAGATGTCTAATATATGCTTGTTAGATGCTTAATAGATGCCTAATATATGCTTGTTAGATGTCTAATAGATGCATAATAGATAGCTATCAGATGCTTAATAGATGCATAATAGGTGTCTAATATATGCTTGTTAGATGCTTAATAGATGCCTAATATATGCTTGTTAGATGTCTAATAGATGCTTAATAGATGTCTATCAGATGCTTAATAGATGCATAATAGATGTCTAATATATGCTTGTTAGATGCTTAATATATGCCTAATATATGCTTGTTAGATGCTTAATAGATGCCTAATATATGCTTGTTAGATGTCTAATAGATGCTTAGTAGATGTCTAATATATGCTTGTTAGATGTCTAATATATGCTTAATAGATGCCTATCAGATGCTTAATAGATGCATAATAGATGTCTAATATATGCTTGTTAGATGCTTAATAGATGCCTAATATATGCTTGTTAGATGTCTAATAGATGCTTAATAGATGCCTAATATATGCTTGTTAGATGTCTAATAGATGCTTAATAGATGTCTATCAGATGTCTAATAGATGTAAACATGAATGTCTTGGTCAAATCAAGGCTAAATTTAGCTGTCAGTGTATTACAGGATTAAATAGCTACACATGTGAAGTCTGTTTAATCTGTATTTGATGATTAGTCTTATTTTGGCCTATTCTTAGACATTTATTCACTGACCACCCAACTGAAGCCTCATTTTAGCCAAGAAATCCATGCTAGATGTCTATTAGACGCCTATTAAACACAAAATTGCTCAATGTGAGCTCTCCTACTGCTGTACTGCAGACAGAAAACCTCAGCACGCTTTACCCAGCATATGCTAAATCATCCTGTGTCTGATCATTCTACTGCTTGTGTGCGTGCAGGTAAGCTGGGAGGAAGTCACCTCTCTGCCATCCACATGGCTCTGAGTGCCCTCAATCTGGCCGAGTGTGCTGGAGACTGCCTCCCTGTGGCCACACTGGCCGAAGTCTATGTGTCTGCAGCCCTACGGGTCAAAACCAGCCTTCCCCGCCTGCTGCACTTCACTACTGTAAGCACACACACACACACGTTTGTTTCATCTTAATGAGGGCATTACACAGACTTCCACTGTTGTTCTGTGTCTGTGGCCTAACCCTAGCCCTAACCTTAACCCTAACTGACCCTCACAGAATCAACCGCACATTATTACCTCCTGACTGATTTATAAGCACCTTTAAATAGTGAGGAGCAGTGAAGCGTCAACAGCA